AATAGCTATTTATGATATACGTGTTAAAAGTAAGATTTTATTTTGTGAGTGAAGATGATTAAAAAACGAGCGTAGCGAGTTTTTTAACTTCACGAACAAAATAAAATCACTTTTAACACGTATATCATACACTATTTTTTCTACAAAACAATCGGAAGAACTTTAAACTCAATAAAAATAAGAAATCAAAAAATACCACACAGATCGCAGTGTTTATGAACCAAAATTTTCGTAGCAACCAGTGCTGTTGTTAGTTACGGAAAAAACGCAAAAATATTGACAGCATTTTCTAGTAATATTATAAGTATAATGAATAATCTCGATAATGAGCGTAACGAATCCATCCCTGCTGAAATCGAAGAAGCCGCCAGTCGAGCAACATTGGAATTATTGCCGGCGAAATCAAAGGAACAGTACGAAATCGCTTATAGACGCTTTTCGGAATGGTGCAACATTAAAAAGGTCCCTGGGAAATGTAACGAAAGTGTTTTACTGGCATATTTTGAGGAAAAAGCCAAGATATGGAAATCGTCAACGCTGTGGTCAAATTATTCCATGATCAAAACTATGTTAAAAATAAAGCAAGATCAAGATATAAGCAAACATTATAAACTTATTGCTTTTTTAAAACGGAAGGGTGAAGGATATCAAGCAAAAAAGTCAAAAGTTTTGACGAAGACGCATATCGACAAATTTCTCACAGAAGCAGAAGACGAAAAGTATCTGATGATGAAAGTCGCAGCAATAGTGGGTGTCTTCGGGGCGTGTCGCCGGGAGGAATTGTGTCAGATGACCATCGACAATATCGAATATTTGGGCACTTCGGTTGTTGTGACCATACCAGATACTAAAACGAAAGTGCCTCGGACTTTCAGTGTTGTTGGTGAATTCTATTTAAACTTTTTTAGAAAGTATATGGCACTCCGGCCACCCAACGCTGACCATAGACGACTTTTTCTTAAATATATGAAGAATAAATGTGTGAAGAATCCAGTCGGAATTAACATGTTTGGTAAAATGCCTGCCGACATTGCAGAGTCCTTGAATCTACCAAATCCTCAACTCTACACCGGACACTGTTTTCGTCGTTCATCGGCGACATTGTTAGCAGATTCTGGTGCAAATCTTACTACCATCAAGAGACATGGAGGATGGAAATCTTCGACGGTAGCTGAAGGCTACATTGAAAATTCACTGGAACAGAAGAAGGAAATTGCGTGCCAAATACTTCCTACTGCTGCAACTACTAGCAAGACCACCAGTACTACCAGTAGTATTTCTACAGAAAATAGATGTGTCACACATGTTGACAGTAAAACCAACTTAAGTATGATGACTCCGCAGGGAATTACAATTTCAAATTGTTCTAATTTTACTATAAATGTTAATAGTAATAACTAGTTAAAATGTTGGTTTGTACTTATTTAAAATAAAAAGTTGTTCATGTGTTTGTTAAAACGTTTTATTAATTTTCAAAACAAAATTTAAATAAACTTTGATTTACTTTTAACACTAGTGTTAAAAGTAACTTACTTTTAACACGCGTGTCAAAAAATGACATTTTTAACATCAAAAATGACAATTAAAAAGCCCACCTTTAACAGTTTTGTGGAAAAAATAATTTAGGTACTTATCAAAAAGCAAAATTCAGTAATTTTAAAACACACAAGTATAAAACAAACTACAACATATGCTCAAAATGTGCACCACTATTTTCCATACACACAAGACACCTTCGAATCCAATTTTCGCGCAATCGCTGGCAAACACTTCAAGAAAAGGAAATAGTGGTACGCAAAAAACACTCCGACGCGGTAGAATCCAGATACCAACTGAATTGCGTATTGGTGGTTGTTGCACCTTAGTACCTCGTATTAATAAACCACCGCGCCGTTGTCACATTGCTCCATATGAATTTTATTGAATTTTAAATTTAGTACAATATTAATTGTTTTTTAGAATTAAGCATAAAGAAGTTCAAAAAGTGATCGAGATTGTATTTTATGTATTCTATGCACGCAGTTATGTCAATATTCCTTAATTAATCGAACTTTTGTATCAAGTTGAAGATTTTAATAATTTTTTTCTCGGAAATGGTTGAGTTTAGAACCCATGTCATATAAGGTTTTTTTTGTTTGTTTTAATGTATTCTATCGTCTGTTAAAGTTAAGGCAGTCAAACTTCTAACACCCTGTATAATACAAATCAATTTTATCGATAGTGTTTCATTTGTCGTACTTATAAAACTACAGGGTGTCCCGAATTTTAACAACGAAAATTTAGGAACCCATAGAAGAAGTGTTAACTAACCTTAAATTCAAAACCTCGCAATTTTTTTATAGAGTGTTAAAACAGGAATAACACACCCATTTTTTTTTTCAAGCGACGATTTGAGTATTTCCTCTATGGCTTCCTGAATTTTCGTACTAAATATACTGGCACCCTACAAAAATTACATATGTGTTCCACAGAGACAATCATTGGAATAAAAACAAATGCGCAAGGGGGTGAGTTGGAGAATTTGCTAGAAAATTTGACGAGGTAAAACAATTAAAATTAATTATATAAAAAAATGGTATAACCGATTTTTTTAAGAATGTACACAGTCGTTCATGCGCGAATGGTCAAAGTTTGGTTGCAAGTAGACTGGATATTTAGATTCACCAAATATAAAAAACTGGAGGAAACTGGGAAACAAGTCATACATGGATTTTTCCGTGAAGTAAGAACAGTAATTTGTGTTATTTTTGTTTTAATATGATATATTTGACTAGGCGATCAGAATAAACAAAGAAACCCACGTGTGTACCGCCAAGAACGATCTATCGTTTCGAAATCTATTGGACCAAATGTTGGATATAAGAGACGACGTGACTAATTTTGCTACTGACGAGGAATTGGTCCACCATCTCACAACGTTATACTCTGCTGTATGCTATTATAAATATCAGTTGATGTATCAACTCCAATATTCAATTTTTTAGTCTGAAGATACTGTTAGTACAATATCATCGTTTACTTTGATGTTGCTTGGAATATACCCTAACATCCAAAGCAAAGTTGTAGAAGAGATATTATCCGTGGTTGGTGATAGAGATATAGAGGAAGGAGATCTTGCCAGACTGGTGTACTTGGATATGGTCATTAAGGAAGTTCTGAGGCTATTTCCCATAGCACCTTTCCTTGCTAGGGAAGCATCTCAAGATTTCCAGTTAGGTGAAGGTCATACATAGTTTATACAGTTAGACTTAGTGCAGTAATTAAGAACATCGTTGTTGATTGTGAACATTACATTGTTGATTTTTTAGATGAATGGACCATACCAAAAGGATGTACAGTGGTTGTGTCCATCCAAAACATTCATAGGGATGGCAAACTTTGGATGAAACCAAACGAATTTTATCCTGAACACTTCCTTCCGGAAGCACTGGAAAAAAGGCATCCTTATGCCTTTCTTCCCTTTAGTGCAGGACCAAGAGGATGCCTGGGTAACATTTTATACACTTTGCAGGTGTACTAACAAATAGTAACGAAATGCATTTTTAGGTAAACCATATGCCTACATGGCAATGAAAATAGTCCTCGTGACGATACTTCAAAATTACTTGGTTGAAGCTGAGGGCACATTGGAAGACATACGGTTGAAGACCGATATCAGCGTGAGAACTAAAGATGAAATATATCCCATTCGTATCAGAAGACGGAAGAAGTAAATTGCAACGTTTCTGCTACCTCTCAACTCATAGTAGTTATTTACATCCGATGCAACTTTGTAGGTATTTTGAATAATAAATTATTTTTTTGTACAATTTTTTAATTGTTTTCCATCATTATTACTCTTTCGAGATGGTTTTAGTTTTTGTTTTCAGTGCTACTACATTTGTTGCTTACTAAGGATATTACGTGAAGAGCAGCAAAATTAACATTAACAAAGATTACCAAGTAGTTTAAATTAATCATTTTTAATTCACTTGCATTAAATATTAAACAAATTACTGGTAAGAAAATGTTTTTGCAACACTCTTTGTTCTTACAATCTTGTTGTTTCTATTTCGGGAATACATTTTTAAAACTAATTTATAATAAACATACGTCAATACTGTAGTGGTGTGTAATAATAATTTGCATAATTAGTTTTTTTAAATAACTAAGTGACGAAAATGATATCCATGTAATTTCAATAATTTAGATGGGAGCGAAAATGTCCTTGATCCCAAACGATAATGAATTTCATCAGGTTAAGATAAAACTTCGTTTCATTTGCAAATAAATACATACGTATATTGCACTAAATTTGTTAGAATATATAATTTTTATTATCATGACACATGCAGCGTATATTGAAATGGAGGGGACAAAAATGTCAACAAATCTTGAAACTAAAATATGATTGGGGCAAGGGTTTATTTCATTCATTTAAATTTTTTTTTTCAAAGGGGTAAAATACCCAAATAAATAAATTGAAAATTGGAACTATGCCACAAATGACATACTATTTTTATAATAACTTGTTTATTTTTATATTTGTTATTAAAAAAATAAATAAAAAACAATTTACTTCTCCCCAGATCTATGGAAATGTGATAATATCGCCTTAAGAGGGAGAAGGGTTTTAGGACCAAATCTATAGTTGCAACATTTCAACCCTCCATAGCTTCAAATATTTTAGACACGCCATTATCTTCGTATAATTATGTATGTGACCTGATGCGTCTATAGAATCTTGAGGTAGAACCTTTTTAAGGTCTTGCAAAAAAAAATTGTAAAAACCTGGCCCCAAAGAACTGCTTTTGATCAAGGCATTACTAATGTAAGGTATATACCTCTTGTCGTATCTCAAAAAGTCCTTATTCTCCCCTATATCTCTATTAAATTGAGAAGTGGTAGCTTCGAGTATTATTATAATCAGTATTTCCACAAAAATAATCACCTGTTATATGAAAACAAAACAGAAGTGTCAATATTCATCTGAAAGCGCAAAACGCTTTCTGACGTCACTATGCGGAATAAACTAGCGAGAGAGAATTGGTGGTTAGGTTTTCATGTAAGTCTGCCACATTTTCTAATCTGTCAGAACCGATATGTGCCTACCATTGTGTCCTTCCTTTTGTAGAATATTTAATTTTAATTAGGGTAAAGAAACATACTACAATAGTACAAGGTTTTCAAAAATCATACTCATTTAATCTGCTAACTGTGAACGTTACTATGGTGTCAGAAATTTTAACAACGTGCGAACACTTAAAGACATGAATAAGTGCAAAAAGGACATTTTTATTAACCTTCAAAAGGAAATTGGTGAACGATTTCAAAGGAAAAATCTTAATGAAAAAAATTTAGTGGATTGGAATTGTTTTGTAAATGTGACACTAAAGATGAGAAGCACAAACCACTCACACAAGAATACATTCTTTGTATTCGCAATTGAGTTTTTAATTTAGTTGCAGTTAACGACGTTGGTTGGGACCCAGCTATATTGGGTGACTATTGCTGGATTCTAAAACGAGCAGATTCGACATCACACAAGAGAAAAAATGAATTGTTTTATTTATTTTTTCTTAACCTAATGTTATGTTCTTATAGCTTTTGGTATTTGGTATTTTAAATCCTTTTAGGACAATCAACTTGAATGAATTAATTTTTTCAATAAATATGGTGGTAGGTATGATTAGATGGTGTTAGGTGTATTTAAATTTCGATACTCTATAACAAAAAAAAAATTTATCTTTTTGCCTGTAGTTTTGAATCCACTGGTTTAAAATCTTTTAGGATCAATATTACTAAAAAAGTTTTTATTTGTGAATCAGGATTTAATTCTTTATTTTATCGGTACTGCAGTAAAACTGTAAGCATTTTTAGAGAAAGTTAAGACTATTGTTTTTGTAAATTAATTATATATTTCAACAATTATATATAATTTTGACCAGTGGCGTAACATAATTTAAAATGAAGAGAAGTCTAGTTACGAAAATAGCAAATCATTGGTGCTCTATATTGAGCTGAAACTTGCTAAGTGCCAACTGAGGGACTTACACATTGTATATACAAACTGTCAATTATAATATACAATATTATCATGACATTACTACCTGTCACAGTCACGACCTACCATATAACATTGTCCATGACTAACTAGGATTTTCACGACCTAATTAGTGGGATTTAAAAATACCTATACGCATTTTGGACCGTATCAATGTCCGATATGTCAAAATATATTACAACTAAATCTGTAAATCCTTATGTAATTAGAAAAAGGCAGAATGCCTGAAAGAGGTCTAACAATTACAAGATATCTTATTTTCTTAATAAAAAACATTATTTTCTTTTTTTAAATTCATTAAAAAATCGTGCGATTTTTGTATTTCACATTTTTTATAACTCTAAAAACAAAAAAGTTAAAATATAGTAAATCACCCTGTACATTATATCAAATTTGAAGATAACTATTTCGATAATAATAAATATTTTCTTTAAATTCAATTTAAAGTAATAATTTATAAATGAAACAACTTTGATCCAAGACATATTGATCAAATTTTTAATCATATTTTGGTCTTAAAATTATTACGTCAAAAATATACTGTTCATGTTAGAAAATTAAATGAAGAATAAATTAGAGGTTACAAATTCAAATTTTAATTATTTTTCAGCACTTCTTAACCGTTAAACGTTTTTGGGTGCACTTTTTTGTCCACAGCTGTACTTTAATTGAATTGCAATATTATATTAATTAATTTTAAGTGTTATTATAGTTTTTTAATACCAATATTTAAGAAGATACTAGTGTATCCTAGTATAGCACTATCAGGATAACAGAAAATGCCGTCGTCTAACATCGACTGCAAAAGTATACGCTCTTAAAAGTAATACCAGTACTTTTAATTGCTTTATTTAAATATAAATTAACAAACAATATACGTAATATTGTTTCAGATAAAGTAACTAAAAGCAACACAACTACTATTTCTGCTTGGTTCGAAAAAATTAAATGATTTTCCAAAAATTTGCACTGATAAAAATGTTCGGTTAAATCATCGTACTTTATGACAAATCACATAACGATAACAAATTTTGTAAGGCAGTGTATATTTAATAACAACAATTTCCCAGAATACTTCTAACGCGAATAACGAGTGACTAAATCGATTATTGCGAAGCGCTTGCGCCAACGATCTGACCACACAGATGAATGAAATTGAAAGCATAAAAGCATGACATTCAAACCCAGATCCTCCTCAATTAAATACTGGCTATATTTTTATAACAAAACATGAAAATAATACTAGTAGCCATATGTATGCCCCTAACAATTTTGCCCTTAGTTCAGTGTCGGGGGGTCAATGGGGGCATGAGCTGTGCAGGTAAAGTGAATTGTATTTTTTTATTTTTATTTATGTTAAGTTATTTGGTTTATTTTTTTAGTGTGTACCGTGCTAACAGGTGTAGCTATGCAGGTGGCAGAGATACACGAAGAAAGCTTAGTAAATGCAACGATAAGACTATGTAACTACTTGCCAAAATTCGCGCAGGACGAATGTTTAGAGATAGTCACCAAAATAGAAACCATAGCTGAGTAAGTACTGCAATGAAATGATAAACGTAAGTACACGTACTTATTTTCCTTTGTTGTCTTTTTAAGAAAGTATAAATATGTATTACAATTTTAGATATACAAGGTGTTAATGAAAATAGTCAAACATTTTATCATTTATCTTGACAACGGTGGCAACATGAAGCAAGAAAATATTTGTGTAAAGCCTTTAGTACTACCATTGGTAGTGGTATCATAAAAACGGATTTGAAATTGAAGTAACTTGGAAGAAAAAAACTGCCAACGCAAATTACTAGGTCTACCCCTAGACTTATGCCCCTTTATAACAAAGCTATGACACAGATATACGTTTGTATAAAAAGTTACAAGTTAAAAGTAATATTTTTTTGTGGTTTAAATATGTAAATCGATTCTTTTATGATATTATAACACACTGTATTAGGAAAACGAAGGGTTTCCGGGCACCGGTTTGTGATGTAGAATTCACCACTAAACTTGTACAAATAAATTATTTACAAAAAAAGTTCTCATAATAATGATTAAGACATTACAGATTATAGGCAACCAGTTTTTAAGATATGCAAGAAAGTCAACAAACTTACACAACGTATATTTCGCATTTTGTATGTTTTATTAATTTTTCTCAAGACGTTTTTTGTTATAAATAGTGGAAAAGGAATGGCAAGTTTAATCAGAAACACAAAACAGACAGAAAGTGTTTACTTTCTGCCTATTTTATGTTTCTGATTAAACTTGCCAAATACCCATTTTTCCACCATATATCCTCAAATTTTAAAAATTTCTTCGCCTAGCTAAAATTTTAAGGTGACACAAAGAACTAAGACTAATTATTTCATAGTTGTCTATCTTTATGCCTGTTTTCAGCAACCTATCGCACAGGATAACCCCAGACGTATTCTGCCTCCTATATGGAACATGCAATGTAGACACAGGGCAACCACTGTGTCACCTGTTCCCCCTTCCATTCCTTGAAGAAGAAGCCGTATTAGTTATAGAGAAGGTATGACAGCAGAAAAATAGCAATCGCTGAACCAATTATGTGAATTATTTTAGTTAAAAAACGATGCTTCCACTCTTCTTCCTAAGATAGACGTGTGTGAGTTGCCCGTGATCGATGACATTTGCAGAATTCTGAACAATTCTTACACATCTCTAGACGCCGCTGCCGATTTTGATTCGGACGGATTCAGCACGATAACTCCTGCACGGTAGGCTTTTATTTTTTTATCTAATCTCTACGTAATGTGTCGGGATAAATAACGAGGTTTCATTGTTTGCGTTTTATTATTACTTGTAAGTGATATTATATACTCCTCAATATAGAAAATGGAAGATACTCTGTCGATCATAAATAAAAAGTTGATATGTCACAGACTAAACCCATTAAGACGCGTTAGTCTCCTAGTGGACAGTTGACACTGCAACAAAGGTTCGCGTATCGTATCAGATGTAAAGTCAATTTGTATATTCCAATCTTATAAAATGATCAAGGACGTGGCTATGGAAAACTATTGGTCGAAAGGGAATGAACAATAATCCGCCAGACACGTTTCCTCACAGAATCGTATAATAATTTCGTGCGTATCATTCGTGGCTTAATTTTGTTACTGTTTTATGTTATTTCGAATTAATTTTAAGACGTATAGCACTGATTCGGTTAATCAATCGACTGTATAAGAAAAAAAATAGTAAGAGCATACTGTTTTTTGTTGAGAATTTTATAACTTTTTAGCTTCCTAAATGTGCCTATGTCTACTTTTATGTTCATACCGTGTCTGCGTGCAATTATTTATCTCTTTGGAATATGTAGTCACCGTAGTATAGTTTACCTAAACTAGGACAATGTAAGAGGTTATTGACAAAGAGATTCATAAACTAACCACAGTACTTTAAAATTATAACAAAAACTTTTTATTAAAAATAAAAAATTTATTTTATAGATACGATTTTAGATAGCTCAACTGACTTGTCATTTTTATGACTTATTTTAGAACATAAATTAGTTTTTGACAATATTGACTTTAAAATAACAATCTTTGCTACAGGTTTGACCTATGTGTATTAGATTAAACAATGATTGCATTACCACAGATATTACGGTAACAGAAGTTGTTATAAACCACCCTGCTTGGTTTCAGTGTTACAAGCCTTTTGGCACCCTTCCGTGCTATGTAGTGACCCTTAATAGTAACTGTTGAAAGAAGGATATTGAAATTGTTTAAAGGCTTCTAAACATCGTGTGTATACTTCCCAAACCGATGTCTCCAAAACCAGAAGAGGTATTTTGATTCTGGAAAATATATGCAGTCCGTAGAAATGACTGCAATCCAAAGAAAATTTTCAGTACAGGAATAACACTATTTAATATAGATAATTTAAAGAAAACCAGTAATTTGTGAGATACTATAATAAATTATACAGGGTGTAAGAAGTTTGACTGCCATTACTTCAGCATGAGATAGACTAATCATAAATGAACATAAAAGTTGGATATTACAGGGTTGTAAGATTAACAGTTTTCAAAATACAGCGAGTATTAATATTGGAGAGTTCCATCACAACGTGACAACAGCGCTTAATCTAACGCTACATAGCTGGTGAATACCACGTGTGCACGTGGCAGACTTGTCCTACGGAAAAAATGTAAACAACTTTTATTGTGAAACTTTTAGTAAATTTGAAGACAATTGTTTTCTAGTTTTTAAATAAATAAAATAAAATGTATCGATTTTGTAGTATGAAGATAGTGTTGTATATACTCAACTTCTTCAAAATTTATTTTGGATTGTAGGTGGTTTGGAACTTATTTCACAAGTTGCGAAAATTAAACTGGTTAGTTTTTCCGCATCCTGTTTGACCGAAAATCATTTGTTTTTTTTTTTAATTTTTAAAGTTATTATTCTAGGTTATAAAAAGTCCTTATTTCAAAGGAGGATGGATGGACGTAAATGAACCAATAAAATAATTTGCACGCTCCTCAGATTTAACTTAATATTTTGTTGTGGTGTTACCTAAAAATTATTCAATTTGCCAAACAGAAATACAATTTCGACTGACGCAGGATCAAATTTTTGCAAATTGCGCATAAATTCTAAAAAATAGATGCCTAGGAAATATACATTTACTGAAACAGATTTTGATTAGATTTTTTTCTTACTGCTTTAAAGAGTCATGTCATTTGAAATAAACTTTAGTTTTCTAGGTTTAAGAATAGGATTTTTAAATGAAACGCCCTCACCTTATGTGCTAATCAGTACAATATTCTCAAATGAATTAACATTTAAAGCTAATCATTTTAGAGGAGCAGATTGGAAAGGAAGAGATTGCATGGATAACGATCCCAATGCTCATCCGGGTAGAACACCATACGACCTTGACATTATCTACGACTGTAAGTTTACTTTTTTCTACATGTATTTCGAAATTCTATTGCATCGATATCAATATCTCATAGTTATAGGAGCACCGCAAAGATGACAAACTTTCGGAGCTGATTGTCAAACAAACGAAAAACAAAAGCAGTTTTTTTTTTTTTCAAAAACGATTCCTACAGGTTTTACAATCCTTCAATCACTGAGTGAACAAAAACTAATCAATGGCGTCGATATTCAGAAAGGTCTGAGGAGTTTCAACAAAAGTTATTTGATATTAAATAGTAATACTATCATGATTTCTGGACTTTTACTCATGAGACGTGTATTATAAATAAAAGAAACTCAACATAAAAGTTCGAAATGGAAGGATACATCTAAATCTGTAAAAGAATACTCTTTTACGCATACATTTGTTTTCAATATCCCCGCCACTGGTTAGTTTTTCTTTAAAACCACTATAGGTACAGGGATTATTGTAGCTATAAGTCTATATAGTTCTTAAATAGTTTATCAAAAATTCTATTTCTTAGTAAGAAAGTACTTCCAGTTATTGAAGGATGGTAAAAACCTTCGGAATTATTTTTAGGAACAAATGTAGATTTTTTTTCATTAGTGAAAGTTTGTCGTGACAGTGTCTGTTACACCCTACATTATTTGAATAACATTGTTTCCAGCTAACTGCAATGGGATATATGGAATCGACAATAAAACAAAAATATCGTGGGAAGAACTACTATGTACTGACTCTGATCCTAAAGGAATAATCTACATAGGTGACTCTATCGGGGCACATTTCCATATGCCCCAGGTGTGGATAAACCCTATAGAATTTGATTGGGTAAGTACGTGTGTTATTTAAGACATCATCTCCACACATCTAAATTGCAACACCTACGACCTAGTTCTGATTCTTACTCATTGGAATACGTTGTATTTCCTTTGTTCCTCCATTATTGTTCTTTTATTTTAGCCAAGCCTTAACGCTAGCGATGTCATATTAGATGAACTGGACTGGCCCCAATTTGGATTCGTTACGGGATACAAACACATACCTCCAAATATTTTAATTAAGGTACTGTGAACATTAATTTCACTGCACATGAAACGCCAATTGTTCGTTTTATTGATTTTAGGGTCCAACCGATTCGTTGTACATGCGATTAAGAAAAAGAAACCGTTGCAATCACCGCGACTATCAAAACTTGTCCCAGAATGGAGCTTCCAGCTACGATGGAGTTGTCCACGCAAATGCGGTATCCAGGAATCAGAGTACTGACAATCCAGCCATAGTATTCTACGCCATGCAAGGGAACGACGTTTGCAACAAGTAGGTAATTACTAATTATTCTCCAGTGTCAAAATAGATGACAATGACTCATTCTCAGCATAGAGACTGTATACAACAAATATAGTGTTCAATTGTCTCAAATTATGTCGTGAAAACTATTTTTTTACTCATTTTTCGTAATTTTCATACCTCGGCACTAGACAGGCTAGTTTAACCACAAACAACCGCGCACATTAGCCGCAAGCGCATACACACTTGGCAGCTACGGCATGCACTATTGTCAAAAATGACAGAGAATTGTAGTTTCGCTCTCTAACAGTTGATTTAAGAGGTATCTGACGATGCTGATGAGTGCGCTGATGCAACAACGAATGCTGTGCAAAAATTTACGAATTACAACTCGATTATTTATTTGATTAAAAAATACGCTTATGACCCGCATTGACACGCCTCAGATTAAGAACTAGTAAAAATTGTAGTTTGTTTTATTTATGACTCTATTGCCTACCATTTTGGCACTGGAGTTTAACCTATATTTCTGTCAAAACCTAAGGAAAAGTTGCACTAAATCTTTGTATTTGGTTTAAGTTTAAAGGACACTACTACCTCGATGACCGATCCAGTTAAATTCAGAAGCAATGTAATGGATGCGCTAAAGGTACTAAACGGAAAACTTCCCAAAAAGAGTCACGTTATATTAATAGGCTTAGTAGATGCCGACTTTATCTATGACGCTATGGCAGAAAGACTACATCCAATTGGTAAGGTGCTGAAGCGTGTTTTATTATAATTTTGATAACAGATCGAATTTCCAGGAGTGTTACACAAAAACGTTCATTACAAGGACATGTACAATTGGTTCATTTGCATGCAGATAGGGCCCTGTAATGGTTGGTTAAATCCTGATGAACTCACCAGACAACTTACGTCCCAGGTAAATTGGAAACAATTAAACATCTTTTTTACAATCATTTTACATCATTTTTCATTACATCATTCATTTACATCATTTTTTTACATCATTTTTACATCATTTTACATCTAAACTGTTTTTTTTCATATATTTATTTCAGCGAGCTGACGAATTGACGAATGTTCTCAAAGATATAGCTGAAAATGAGAAATTCGACTTTTTTGACTTGCACTTCATAAAAAATCCTATCAACGAGGTTATGGCTAGGAACAAAATAAATGTACCAGATCTATTGGAAGCTGTGGATAGTCTCCATCCAAATCAGGTAAAATATGAGCTATCAGTTATTTACTGTTAATATTTAAAAATTGTAACGGATTAAAGTCTGATCAGCTTTTTATTTTTTTTTTTTCAGAAAGCTCAGCCAATTTTAACTGAGGAGGTGTGGTCATCAATAATAAAGGACCTTCCATTAAACGTCTTAGGTTCTATAAACAAGAACAATAAATTGATAAAATCCTTGTTCGGTGATCAAGGAGGCCATTAAAAATAATTTAATAAATTAATAATCTAAATATTGATATTAGTATAATATTTATTGCCTGTTATCGTTTTAATAACAAATTATGAAATATATTTTCATATTGTTTTCTTTACCTCTTATGATTTATTTTCCTCCGCCTTCGTTCCCTGTCGATTTAGAATGATGGTACTGTAAGTAGATGAAGTAACAAATCTTGTATGTCCAGAAGTACAAACCTAAAGGTTATTACAGACTTGTAACTGCGCCACCCGAAAACAGAAATCATATTCTAGACTTCAGTAAACCCTACTATTATGTTAAATATTTGTTAATTGTTAATGATATTGTGGGAAACAACTACTTTGAGAGCTATTGTCCCAAGCAGCATTAAATCGTTCTCGCAATATCTAGTCACCAGCTAAGAAAAAAAGAACCACCAGGCATAGACCGGTTTTATACTTATTAGTTCCCATCAGTATGACATAGCCCTTCATCCATAACTATTCCCAAAAAGTTAATGGCATTCTTATTAGCCAAACTGTGCTCCATGTGCAAGTAAATGTAAATGGTGTTCCAAAAGAAACGCAGGTTTCATATGAGGGAAAAAGATTTTATTAATTAAAATGTCGGTAATGTTATTACATGTTTTTAAAGGGTAGACATTGCCATTACCGAACCTTTTTGTTCAAATTTGGTAACTAATCTGTTTACAGTTGCTTCATTCGGGGCGTTCCTTCTACCGAAAATTCCGCTTAATTTGGACACAGTCTTAGCTACACTCTCCGTACTTGTAGTGGATTTTCACAATCTTCACTCGCTCATCAGTCTTATAGCGCTCCAATTTGTCTAACTGCAACGTGTTTACTACAACATGAGATCCTACACAATACTACCAACTCTTCGGAATAAAAATGGTGTAAAATTCAAATTCTGCGGTACTTTTGGAACACCCTTTACTTAATCAAAGTACAGTGGTATCGAATAATGAACTTAGACATCGTTGTTTTTAAATAAAAATGTACCTACCCGAAATATAAAGCCTTCTAATAAATAAAAGACGAATCCACAGTTTTGCAAACGAATGCAAGGAGATAAAATAATTGTAATGAAACGGGTAAAATTATTTGTATGAGATGTTGACATATTTTGCAGAATCGTCTATAACGTTGTTTCGACTTACTTGCAAAAATGTTTTACAATCCAATTACTTTTAAGTGATATTTCTGGTTGACTGGTTATTCTTAGCAAGTAGAACTGATGAAATTTTCATGAAACCGCGTTTTATTTATTTGCGTTTTACCAATATTTTCCATGAAAAAACATAAAAGGTTTTTAAACTTCTAATAGAGACATATAGGTCATTTTAGGAATGACTAATTATAATATGCAACCAAATGTTATATTTCCTTCCTAAATATTTATATATTTTTTAATATCATAGTACACAGTCTAACTCTGTAGACTACGAATCATAATATGGTAGCTATATTATTATAAATACAGTATCCTCTGCCTCTGTAAAATTAAGGATATGTTCTTGCAGAGTTCAGACAATTCTCTATTTGTAAAAAGTTGTACTCACACTTACCTTTCTAGCTATTATTATCATTCAAGGACTCTACGTATTAGTTTTGGTCAAAGAGCGGTGTGAATTCTTTTTTCAGCAAATACCAACGCGGTTTGTTTATTAGGCAAAATTAAGTCGTAGATTCCGAATAAACTTTGTTTAATTTTTTTTTACATCTGATTTCCATGCAATATAAATGAAATGTAAATATTGCAATAAAAAATTACTATACCGATAAAGCATCTATAGTCACTATAATCTAAAAAAGGTATATGACTACCAATGATAACAGCAACTTCTTGATTTCGACATTTTACAAAAAGTCATCTGTTAATTGTTATTACATACTATGATACTATACAAAGTATTTTCTAAGCCTGTCATAACTTATGTTGCTGCTTAGGATAATTTTAAAGAGTTCGGTATTCAAAATGTAAGGCATTTGCAGTCCGTAGATATTTGTTGAGATAGAATTCCAAGAAAAGAATGAGCCAATAAAGTTCTATTATCGGAACTACTCTAACAATATATCGCGTCAGCAGAATCACCAGACATAGACGTCAGACTCTCTGGTAGCAATTTGCCGACACTTTTTGTATATGAGTAAGATGATCAATGCCAACTGGCATAAAGCCCCCTGCCCGCTAACCTTTTCTGTTTCAGAGACAGCCAGGATCAAGAAACGAAGACAACGACACACATACATACACACCCCCCATACCCTCCTTAACCCCCCCTCCCGCGCTAGCCTAAGGGCCACCTTAGCAAAGCGCATCCCAGGCTGCATAGCCGCACTACCCTACCCAACCATACCACACATAAACATGACACTACCCCCGGGGTTTACACAGACGAGCCGGCGAAGCAAGAAGAGCGCCAGAAGAAAGGGCCCTAGCCGGCGGGGCCCAGCCAGGACAAAAGGAGGTCCCACAAAGCGCCTACACCGGCCGCATTTGCGGTCGGGGTAGACGACGGATGGGGCCCACCTACGAAGGCTGTCCAGGCCTACACGAGATGAGGCAGGATAAAGAGGGATAATCCCCCTCGATCCCAAATCATTGAGGCCAATTTCTAGCCATAGAATAATGGCGCGAACTGGCATAAAGCATTGCATTGTACCTACTGGCAGAGAGCAACCTACTAACCTGTTGGTACTATAAAAGCAATGACTACTGTCGCACTAGGCGAATTAAGCTTTTAAATTAGTATCATTTTAGGTGCAAATCAATGTTTTTTTACAGTAAGCATTGAATAAAATTGACAATACATTTTAGTAGTGACGTCATATACGCCAAATAATAGGTAACCCCACATTGTCATGAAGAATTTCTCAATATTTTACTAGATCGATTTTCGACCTTATGTACCTACTTTGGGCCAAAAAAATGTCTTCTTCATCATGACCTTAAATATCGCGATATTCTGGCAGTACTTGAAATAGTTAAGACGTTTCAAACCCCAAGTGACAAACTAAAAGAATTATAGAATTTATATATTTCAAATTATAGAGCAATATTGACTTTTATAGTAATTGGATATCATTCGTGAAAGTTAATTATGGTTAGGAGTACGTCTATAATAATAAACCACTTGAAGAAAAAACACCCGATAAACAAACTGACACAGTACAACACCAAACGAAACAATAAAAATACCTAGTAAAAGTAGAAAATGCCAAAAATAAACAAAAGAAGAGAAAATAGGCTAAAGATGACAGCAGCGAGATATCAACAAGATCTTACCTAGGTATGAGGCTATTCTTTCCGAGCATGCGCATTAGGAATAACACGGCAAATGTTGTTTTATATCGTTTTTTGTAAGTTTTAAGCACATTAGTGTATCTATTTCACGAAACACGTGTTGGGTGTTAATTAATTTAAGGTTCCTCATTTTTATAGTATCTATGTAAATAGTACACAAGGGTCAGATTCGGTCTGTACAATTTCAACTATGACAATTCGTTACGGGTTGCCTAAATATGTGACGTCACACTAAAATATACTTTGTAGGTAATATCTCACCCAGCTAGTGGATCATTTAAGTTTTTAGCCTAAACTGATTCAAGAACCACTTTCTGAAGTTAGACATGGATTTAGAAACATTTATCTACATAGATGGTTAGAAATTAAACACATGGTTATTGTTTATCTTAAAAAACGAAGTCGCAGAAAAAGAGAGACTATTTTGAGTCACCTTGAATTAAGTAAATACTTTTTCAGTGAAGGTTTATTTATTTAAGTGAAGTAATTTAACTTAGGTAATTGAAAATTATAATATGGTTATACAGTAAGTCTCGACGTTTTGTAGGTTTCGTATACTCCCTAAAGTAATCCTAAATTCTTATTTAGTATGTTAAATCAAATGGTAACTACCTCGAAACAGTTTGAAAACGCGTATACACAACGCCCTTTACAGTGGCGGAACTACCTTACAGCAGAAAGGAGCAGTCCGAGGGGGACCGAAACCATTAGAGGACCAGGAGTCTCCTTCTAACTCCACTCGATGCTAATAATTAAATACTTTTAATATACCGTAATACAAAAACAAACTAAAAACTTTTCAGGGCCAAGGAGTGGTCAAGGAGTGTAGAGGAATTTAGGTTGTGAATTTGAACATAAAAAATTTCGCTGCCGCCAAAACCCTATATAAAGTATTTGTGTAGGTTTAGAAAATTGTATTTTTTATACAGGATGATTCATTAAAAATGGCAAAAATCTGACTTTAAACAATATCGACGATATTTTTTATACAGGATGAGTAATTAAAAATGGCAAAAATCTGCCTTAAACAATGTTGTCAGTTTAAGAGGTGTAGAAAATTAAACTATTTTGAAATTTTCAATATTTTTCAAAATTTTTGTACTATCAACTTAAAAATTGTAAGTTTTACGATCTTGACATAACAATTCATAATTTTCGGCTAATAGGAGGCGTTAGTTACACTATATGGCGTAGGTAAATCAGGGAAATTTTTTATCTCTGTATAATTGTAGCAAAAACGAGTTGTAATTCCGAAAAAGGATCACTTTCCATCTAAAATAAGGACTCATTTTGAATTTGGATGTTTATATCTGCTTTCTAGATATTTTCTCTTAAATGTTTCAATATATACATATTATTTTCTACTATTAGGACTAGTTTCTCCAGCAGCCAAATAAATTTATTCGTCAATTAAATCTGTTTGTCAGTTATGCAAACATATATGATGAAATAGACAGATTTTATTGACAAATAACTATTACGAGCTGGAAAAATAAGTTCTTAGGTTAGTTTATTTTAAACCGAATACGAATATATTTCGCTACAATAGTGTACGTACGAAATATTTTTGCTCATATAAGAAGTATCACAGAAAAGTTATAGGAAATTTAATTCTTTGTTGTGCTATATTATCTGCGTCTTGGATTGGTGTTGTGCCACAAGTTGCATTTTTACGTTTCATTTTGACTAATTTTTAAACTTTATTTTTTATTGTTGACTGCAGTAGTAATATTGATTTTATAATCCAATATCTAATATATGAATAACAGTAAATTTGATATTTTGTGAAATAGCTAACTGTGTCAGTTCTGAGTTTTGTCACAAATCAACGAAGTTCGTAAAATAGTTGAAATTAATTTTTCGGATTTTGTTCATTATTTTTTTTTTCGTATGAAAACTGTGGTGATGAAAGTTGAACTAGTCACTTATCTAATTAAAGGTAAAAATATAATATATCCCAGATTTTCGGCGGCAGTGGATATTCCACAAGCTTGATCACTACTTTTAGTTGCTAGTAGTGTTCCTGAAAAGAAAACCTCTTATCAGATACACTAATACTACTACTACTACTACTACTACTACTACTACTACTACTACTACTACTACTACTACTACTACCACTACCACTACCACTACCACTTCTTCTTCTTCTTCTTCTTCTTCTTCTTCTTCTTCTTCTTCTTCTTAACCGGAGGTTGTAGAAGAACCCTGAATTAAATTTTGCTGGGTGGCCCAAATTTCGATCACCACTGTCCCTGTATATCAGAATTTTGAATTATGTAAAATTATTTCACTTATGGTCATTTCAGGGGATGTTAGGTCGTCCTCGGTCAGGGACAAGCGGAGTTATTGCGGCAGTCAAAAAGAATACCTAAAGGTTCGGTGAAAATTAGAGTTACTTAGCGTAAGTTATTCTTTCCTTAGCGTTAAGAAATCCCTAAAACGGTGAAAACGAGTAGGTACATATTAAATAAAAAAATCTTTATCAAAAAATTTGTACGTATTCTTTCCTTTTTCAGTGTAATTCGCGTTACATTCCGAGCAGTGGCTCAACTGTGTCTGTATGCAACTAAACCACACGCTGCTGTGCGCTCATTTCTATTAATTTACTTTCGATAACAGGGCAAAAAAACACTTATTAGATAACGAATATCGTACACAAGCGGGTACCCTCCGTTGTAAAAATTAATAACTGGGAAAATAGAGGTTCAAGTTCGCGGAAATTGGGTTAACATGCAAAAAAAGCGATAAAACTACTAGGGCAATAATTATTCAGGCTTGCCTTGGCGGTGTTACGTAAAATTTCCCAACTATATTTATTTCAGTACAGGTATTCATTATTATTCTTGCCGAGAGAATAATCGAAAGTTAGTAATAGCTGGCACTGTCGCCTATTTGAAGGTACGCCGCGTTCAGTTATTAATGTTATTACATATTTCACTCAATTAATGGTACTTGCTTATACGTGGTAAAAACCGTGCGGATATTTCTTTGTTTAATTTATTTTGTAAGGTAAACGATTTCGTGTGTTAACAGAAAAAGACCATCACCGATGCAATCGAGTGAGTAAGTGGTAATTAAGTTAATTGCAAAACGACAAATTATTGTTTGTTTTCACGACGCGAGTATTATGTTTATTGGGAAACGGCGTGAGCGTTAGTGTATACGGAGTTTGAATCTAAAACACCTGCCTATATCATCAAGAACAATCATATTGGGAGGTGATATTTTGAAATAGCAATAGGTGACCGATTTTATATTTCAGTGGTTCCAATCAATGAATTGATTCTATACACTCACTGAGATTTAAAAAAACGTTGAATCAAGTCTTAGCCAATTTTTAACATCAGATATACATACATACATACATACATACATACATACATACATACATACATACATACATACATACATACATACATACATACATACACAAAATGTTTTAAATATAGGGCGCTTCCAATTGCACACACCAAACTTCAGCAGGTGGCGTGGCAGAACTTCTCAAAATAAAACAAAAAGTTCTCACAAAGAAGGGAATGCTCCGAAAAAAAAAAGTGTCACACAAAAAAAGGCCCCAAAGTTTTGTCTAGGTGCCCACATTTTTATCCGCCCCTGAATAATTTTAATTCATAGTTATCCATTCATGGAAAAGTGTAAATTTCCTGTTGTTTAATTTTCGTAATTTTGAATATATTCAATAAATATTTTCGGGAATTTCAAACTGAACATTCTGTAGCTGGGAGATACAAGTAGAAGCATTTCTCAACCCAACTTATGGGGAACTTTTGTCTTACTTTGGCTTATGCTATTCGAACTACTTTATATATAGAGTGTTTTTAAGTGTGTGACATAACATATTAGGCCAAAAAGATTTAGTGAACCAGGGATCTATAGTCGCTGATTTCCAAAGGTGTTGTAATCTTAAACTATATCACATTTTTTCAAACATTGAATATTAAATTTGAAGATACTTGACGTAAATTGACGAAACTGGGGTTAGTAGTATGACAACCAGTGCGAAGGTATCGGGATGCACTGTTATTGAAAACACCAGAAGTCCTGCGTCACTGAGTTTTTTTGGAAATTCCATTAGTTCATTTGGTTCCTAATTCTATTTCAAAGAAAATAAATATCTTCCATTTTTTCTTTTTTCGAAAAACAGGTAATTTTCGTTACACATTTCAATTCATTAATTAAGACTTTTTGGTCTAACAATTAATTAATTAAATTTCAAGTTAGCTTACCACGCAATTGGAAATAGCGAAAATAATGTCTCACAAAAAATATTTAGAGAAATTTCTTGTTGCCAATGCAATTTGAAATGTAATCATTAAAAAACTAAAAAATCGTTGCTGTAGAATTAATTATCTGAACCTGATGCATTCCCAAAAAAATTTAAATGTTTGTCAATGAAAAACTTTCGCTGGCTACAATCTATTTAAAATTAAATTCGTAGCGTAGAAATTCTGGGGTTTCAATGACAATGCCTTTCGGTGTCTCCGCCACTGATAAATGTATTTGTATACTCTTAAAAAGCGGTATGGGTCTCCCATGCTTATTTACAAAAATATGACTACAAATTTTACCATCCACCGGTATTTTTATTTATATAAAGCTTTGGAAAACTAAAAAAATATATGGTACCTATAAACTAAATGCGATTTGCAGACCATTAACTTTTTTCACTAATGAAAATTTGAAAAATAAAGTTGAATTGGAGAACATTATTTAAAAAATGAAATAGTTTTTTAAAAATATCGAATAAAAGGAGATATTTCTAAAAAGCTCCTAAAATCATGGTAAAAGAGCTTCAAATAACGTTTTATTAAATTTCAATCAGAATTGTTACAGGGTATTTAAAATTAATAAATTGCACTAGCTTTAAACAAAATTTGAAGCAACCAAAACTCATTGGTTGAAAGTTTTACTGGATGTTGACATTAAAAAATGAAAAGTCCCTACATTATAATAAAAATTGAAAATTACTTACAAGACAAACGACTATTTTTTAATTTAGGACTTATTTTTCGTGTAGTGAATCTAACTGTGGCAGTTATAATGTAAACCAATTTATTAAAAAATATGTAGTAAGGTGACGATGAAATTACTGTTATTATATCCGAGATTAAAGTAATTTTGAACATAAACATATTTTTTTTAATATGCATATATTGTTGTTTTCAATTTTAAACAAATTATAGTCGTATGTAATACTAAAAAAATAAATAATCTGTTGTGTATTGAATAAAATCCGCTGGATCACGATGATGATGTTTAGGAGTTTTTTTCATAAATGTTTCAACTTTTTTTGCGATAAAGTAAATTTGTTTTCTTTACCGTCAAAAGAGAATATTATATTATTATAAAAATATTAATTTTTAATCAAAATGAAAACGTAGATTAAAATACTCATTGAACACTTAGATTTTTGTAGTCACAAACAGCAAATGTGAGAATCAACAATCAAGTCAGTATTACCAACGGAGACGCATTAAACTCCGCGTGGCAAAATTGTTGTCTAAATCAAAGCACCCGTGCAATTTCAGAAAAAGACGACTTGATCTAAACGATTATAACCAGAGTAATAGATAGAAACTGTAGGACAGTTGTTTTGAGTGGCTGGTTAAAAACGAACAAAATTTTGTTAAATTGATTTTAGAAAATAATTACATAAACCTCAGTAAAAAGCGATTTTCACTGCCGATGTGTTTTTAGAGTAGCAGATTGAAATGTTCTTCTTAAGAAATCAGTGGTGTGCTCAGAATTTTGCTTTGAGGAACATTATTACAAATTATATTTGAGTGAACAATAATAAAAGCCCATAAATTCCTCATTGACCAGGCCCGGTCTGGCCAGGTCGGAAAGTCGGCAAAACCTGACTTATTTTGGAAGATAGGCCTCTAAACGACTAACGAGGCGCCAAAAGTATAAGAAAATTGTTTGTAAATTCCTGAGATATAGCCACCATAAATTGAAAAGAAAAAAAAATAACGTGCAAATGAAAGTTTAATCTTTTGTAGAAATGGGATTTTCCCAGGTCCAAAAAATAACACAAACTTTATTATAGGAAAGAAAGAGAGAAATAAACATACAGGCTGTTACAAATTCGTTTCTCACTACAGGAATCTCGGAAACGGTAAGAGGTACGAAGTAGCTTAAATGGGGGCAAAGTTGCGTAATCAGGGGACCAACATTATGCCTCTAAAAAATTAAAGCTAACATGATTAGTTTTCGAAATATTAAAAAAAAACGAAATTTTGGAAATCCGTGTTTGTTTAATTTCAGCCTTATTTGAGGTGATATTGAAAAAAGAAAAACACTTTCTCAAGGCCACTTTTTGCCCTCTATCGAATAGCATAATCAATTTTTATATGTAACGTTTCGTTTCTCCAGGACCATCATCAACTTCATTTTTTTAAATACGACGCTGGAAATGTTATTACAATTTTTGCAAGCCTGTTGTTCATATGCCTTTTTTAAGAATTAATTTGTCATAATAAAATTAAGATTGTAATAATGTTTTAATTTTGACGCAACAACTTATTGAGTTATGTATGACCAAGTGATGGTAATAGTTAATAGGTAATAATAAATGTTTTATTGTAACGCGTGGTAGTAATAGTTTAAATAACTAGATGGATTTCACAGGGTCTAACGACACTTACAGTGTACGATAATTCAATAAACAAAGAAATCTAAATAAAAATTTAGATAAATTTGGAATGAATACACTGAAGATGAATTTTTCGAGACAAAACGTCTGAATCTGGTTCGAGCTGAGGCAGTACAGTATTGGGAGTCATGAAGGCTGGCAAAAAATGCAATACTATTTCCAGGGTCGTATTGAAAAAAATGAAGTTGATGATGGTCCTGGAGAGACGTAACGTTACATATAAAAATTGATTATGCCATTCGATAGAAGGCAAAAAGTGGTCATGAGAAAGTGTTCTTCTTTTTCAATATCGCCTCAAATAAGGCTGAAATTAAACAAAAACGCATTTCCAAAATTTCGTTTTTTTTAAATATTTCGAAAACTTTTTAGAGGCATAATGTACCAACATTGTTACGCAACTTTGCCCACATTTAAGCTACTTCGTACCTTTTACCGTTTCCAAGATCCCTGAGAAGCAAATTTATAACAGCCTGTACATAATACAAAATGTAAAGTTTAAAAAAAATTATAGGTATCTAGTTGTAGTATCTGCACGATTTTTTCGGGTAAAGATTTATTATATACACCCTAATAACAGACAAAACCAAGTAGGCCCGATTTCGATTTTTTCCGACGGTCCCTGAAAGAGCCAGACCGAGCCTGTCATTGACTGTGGTATATACTTTGAGTACCTGAAATAAGTACCAGAAATTTTAATTACGTATCCCATCAAAAGCAACAACTGTGGTTTAATAAATCATATTTTTGTTCGATATTTTGTACCTACTAATATAACCCTAACGAGCTGCCTATAAACTCAGGAAACATTTAAGTAACTTTTACGTACTTTTTATGATACATTAAAAATTTTTGCTAGCATAAATACTATACACATACTACTTACTTTCGATTTGTACACGTGTTTCTGTTTATTCACCACCAAAGCGTTTCAACTTATTATCCAGATAAAAATCACAAATTACTTTTTCTTAAAAACTAACAGGCCTTCGAAAAAATATGTATATTAGATAAAAATTGTTGCTTTTGCCAAATGCACTTATTTCGGGAACACCCTGTATATTTATCGTTTTGAATTCTAATTTTAAGGACAATATCTTTGGAAGAATTTTTTCCATTAAGAAACTTTTTTTCAGTACATTATTACAAAATAACTGTCAAACGTGCATGAATGGTTGTATTTTGATTAATCAATGTACCTATTAATATCAGTCTTGCGTCAATTTCCTATAATTTTTGCCACAGTCACTGGTCAACGGTCATCGTCTGTTTATAACAGTATTTAATTCGTCATTTTCTCTTGTTACAAGTATACCTACATAATAACTAAAATGCTATCACTGTTCGTTGATAAGGAAATGTTGATTCATTTGTAATTCTTATACAGGGTATTCGAATACAAATGGACCATACAAAACAATTTTACTACCTTAAAAAGTTAGTGACAGAAAAATTTTTTATTCACATTTGTTGCATGCTGTTAAACTGCATAGTTCCAGAGAAAAATTGATCTAAATTTTCTACAGCAGCTGTCAGTTGCAGTTGCAATTTCAGTATAAAATCGATATCCACCTTTTTCTCGAACAATACATGTTAAATAATGACATGTATGAATATATCTCTTTTACAGTAAATGGACTGACGATTCATAAAATGCCTGATTCATCTCAAAATCTCTATCAACAAAAAAAGACATAGTAAGAAACCAGTAGCGGCTCATTACTTCCATATCAGGGTATGCGGAAAAATTTAGGTATAAAGTATTGGAAAAAAAATGAAATATAATTGGGCAGATTTATTTTAAGTACTATTGAAATCTAGGGACAATGTGTGCAACATTATTTTTTATAGTGAAAGTCCATTCTTCTGCTTTTGTCAGAAATAAACTTTTCAATTACTTTTCTATTAAAGTCTGATATTTCTTGCGCCATTAATTTTTCAATAGATAATATTAGTGTTAGTCTGTCATTATGATCAATTTAAACTTTTACAATCTTTTAAAAAACACACAAGAAGCAACACGTAACAAAATTTTACACCACCCCCCGAACAAATTACGTTTAAAAGCAGAGTCCAAACTGCGTAGTAAATATGCGCTACTCCCACTCCATATTTCACTAACACGCGACGGTAACCATGACCACCACTGTAAACACTTTACAGAAGTAGACGCGAGCTACGAGGAGCCCACGTAAGTTTTGCACACGAATTTTGCAAGTCGAGTTAAATTAATTGCACATTACAAAAACATTTCCTTTTTAATGCGCTTATTAAGGTTAATCTATATGTAGATAATATTGTAAACTAAATTCTAAATTAATTTTTTTTACTACTAAAATTTCTAGGAGGGGAGGCGGCGCCCCAGAGCCCCCCGGCACCAGAGAAGAAACAAAAACTGTTTCAAGCATTTTTTTAGGTAAAAAATAAATTTATATACATCTTTGGCTAATCCAAAAACCCCCGAAACAAAATTTTATTAAAATACGAAATGTGTCTTAAAATAACTAAATTGAATCATTTTTTAAAACCTGGGGCTTTTTAAAGGAGCAAACTTGCAGTAAGGTATCTTGACCTAAATCAGTTTAATTTCTTCCAAGGAAGCTGACCATGAAGTAAGGCCCATTCGTTTCGTAACACCCCGTAAACAAAAAACTATTTCTTGCCCGGATGACTAACTGCATTTTTTTCACGGACTGCTGCCCCAATAAAACAACAACAATAATTAGCGCCAATATATTATAATCGCAATTTTTATACTTGAGTAAAATGTCTAACCTTGTACTTAAACACATGTAACCGCTGTAACAACCAGTAACACAACAATTCAAAACCGATTTTTTTTATTGGACCAGTAACAAGACATTCACATTCATGTGCATGGCAAAATAAGTCTAATCAAGACATTAGAAGATACGCCGAAGACCTCGAGCGTACTAGAGCCAGCAATTAAAGCCGCACCTCGGCCTAAGTCTATCGGCAAATTGCAATTCGTTTGGGATATGGTGGCGAGCAGATTGTTCACGTCGAATTTGCTGTTACCACTCGCGGTTTCTATCGGAGATTCACGCTTTCTTTGATAACTTCTGTTGTTTTTCTTGCAGTTGTATCAACGCGGTGACTGAAGATGACACGAAAATTAACGATACTGCTGTGCGTGGCGTTGTCCTTTTTGGCGGTGGACGGTCAGCTGGCGGTGGATATCAGAGCGCCCAGGATAAGTGACTTTTTGAATAGGATTACCAACACGACGTTCGGTAAGATGTTTTTTTTTTTTAATTCCGTTTGTTTAAAGTGTGACGATTTGTATCTTTTCGGGTTATCAGTTAAAGGTTACATGCTTTTTTATTTACAAGCATTAGGTGCCTCAAACCGGGTAGGTACATAATTTTTATTTAACGAATGTTATCCGTAATCTGTTTTCCCAAATCTGTGGGTCTTGAAGCATGGATAATTGCTTATTGGAAAAAGCGCATTTAAAATTGTTTAATGACTTTTGCATAAATGGAATTCGAAGAATCGATTGGCGAAACCTGATTTTATAAGCTAGACGAATTATGAATATTTTTATTAATTATGTTAATATCCTTTACAGGGTGTTTAGGGGACACGATATATGTATAAATAGGTTATGAAATAAAATAAGTGTTAAACTATACTACTATATTTTAATTTTAAAGAAGTAAGCAATAAACAAATCATGGAAAAAAAATTCATATGATTTAATATTTCTCTCAAGGTAAATGATGTTTGTACAAAATTCTGCCACAAATTATCTACAGTAAAATCACAAGAGCTTTTCTTTTTATCGGATAAATTTCTCTTTGTAACGAATAATTTTGACAATCAGTAATTTTACGAGAAAAACTAACATGAAAAAATCGCGAGACCGAAGGTCGAGCGATTTTGTCAAATGCCAGTTTTTCGAGCAAAATTACTGACTGGAAAAATTTTGACTTACAAAAAAGTGTATCCATGAAATGGAAAGCTGTTTTTGACAAGATAAATTATCGATCAAATATGTGAATGAACGACAAAAATAAGTATCTTTATTTATTCTATGTGAACGAATAACAATCATTATACTCACACTTTCAACAATACTTAATAATTGTAATGACGGGAAACTGACATGCGCTTACCAAGTATAGTTGAGTTTAGCGGAACAGTAGTGATAAAAAGCTACGCAACTTTTTATCGCTGTCAAAGTGACAAAAACGTCACTATTTATTCACATTTTTATGTGAGTTCATTTATCACGGTAAAAATAGTTAGATCGATTTGCTTTATCTTACCTTAGCACAAAAGTTAATTACGGAGATACAGGGCGTCACAGTTAATAATTTATTATTACAAACTTTTATTTAACTTGCCTTGTTAGTATAGGTATCCTACAACTGAATTTTAAAACAGTTATGTCAACCGATTGAGCTGAAATTTTGCATATACGGTTACTTTGAATGACAATGCATGGTTGGTGTTTTTAAAAAAAATTGCATAAGAACTTCTTTTCAATTTTCTTCACTATTTATTGAGAGAAAGATGACAACGTTATAAAACTTGGTATACAAGGGTTTTTTATGGTGAAAAATTCAAATATGTTAACAAATTTTATGTATGGTGTAAAGAGCGCCGCATACAGCATATAGTGTATTTCCAAATCGTACTAACTTTTTTGCCGTTCATCGTACATAATTTTGGAGTGCCAATATTTGTTCGTCTACGTGTTGCGTTTAAAAAAGGTACCTACAGTGTAGGAAAGTACCGATGGTCTATCAGAAGTTACGTGAGAGCGATAAAGTAAGACATAGAAATCCATGTGATAGACAAGGATGGGTATAGTGAAGGCGTCTAATTCTCACCGCCCATTTCGCCATTCCACAAATAAGAAGTGGATCTTATTTGTAGAAGGGCGAAACGCGCGGTAACTATGAGACGCCTTCATTATAGCCATCCTTCTCTATCGCATGGATTTCTATGGCTTACTTTATCGCTCTCACGTAACTTCAGATAGACCATCGGTACTTTCCTACCCGGTATATTTCGTTAATGTCGCTAGGAGTAACGGTTTGCCAGAAAAATGCAATTAAAGGACGATTTAACTCAACTTACCTTAGTTCAAAATTAATTTGTAAGGGCGCAATCAGACTGTAATACAGCAAACTGCAAAACAAGCAATAAAACAAAACTGAAAATATGTGAATTTTATTAGGTAATTAGGCTGAAATACTTTAAGTACTTAAATGTTCAAAATAATCACCATTGTCATGTATTATCTTCATAATTATCAATTCTTTACGAAGGTAAAATGAGGCAAAGTGATTTATTTTCACCTCGAGAATTTGTAGCATTTTGTACAGACCTTTCGGGGACACCCTGTATATGATTAATTACACAGTCACACACACACACAGAAAAAGTTGTCTGTACTTTTCATGGGACATATGTTATCCGTAGTATTTTGCCTCATGATCACGAATCCGGTTTCAGAATTGAGTTATCACATCACAGGAATTCTCTAACCTCAAAAAAACAGGTCAAAAATAGCAAAAATTCACGAAAAAGTGCTAGGAAAAATACAATTTCTGTTTTTTCTACATTTAAATGTTCATTTATATGGATAAGACCCCGCCGAACGTGAATCCCTGGTCAGAATTGATGTTTTTTTTTTCTATCCTCAAAAAAGCGAGTCAAAAGGTCAGATATCACGAATTTTCAAAAAATAACAGAATCGCGCCAAATTTGGGATACGTGGGTTTTTGGAGTCCCTGTTCACGGATCCGAGGTCAATTTTGCAAAATTCAAGATGGCGGATTCAAAATGGCCGATCAAATTTTCAAAAAATAACATTTTTGCGCCAAATTTGGTATACGGTCGTTTTCGGGGTCACTGATCGCGAATCCGAGTTCAGATTTACAAAATTCGTTTTTAAAAATTTAATCTATTAGGTACCTATGTACTTTATTACCTAAAATTAGGCAGAAAAGCCGTGAATAGATCTTTTACAGAAAAAATAACAAGATATAGCCGAAAAGAAGAAGGTTAAAACATGATTGGGTACTCAGGTTATAAAGTAAACAAATATATTACAAAAAATTTCGCAATTCTTGAAAATGTCGCATGAAAAGTACAGACAACTTGTTTTTTTTGTGGGGCTGTGTTATTATCAGACTCTAAAGGTAAAAAAAATAATTAAAATGATGAAAAGAAGGGATGCTTAGGTTGTTTGTAAATTATGGGACATACAAATTTAAATTTGCCCATCTTTAATTAATTTTGCGCAAATAATTTGCAATCAATTACAAAAATTCAGCAAAATAATAGCAGAATTAGAATACTGGTAGGTCAGTTGTTTACCTGCATTTTCTGTTTTGAAGTTATCGATGAACATTGAATATTTTGGTTTTTGGTTTTATTTTTGGCACTTACCAGGACGGCAAAATGACAAGCAACTTTTGTTTTTCTCTTAGCTTTCCTACAGATGCCATATAGGAATTTCGCATTTTTACGATTACGGTTATGTGCATATACAGGTTCGGAAAGTACCGATGGTCCATTTCCCGTTACGTGAGAGCGATAAACTAAGTCATAGAAATCCGTGCGATAGAGAAAGATGGCTATAATGAAAGCGTCTAATAGTCACCGCCCATTTCGCCCTTCCACAAATAAGATCAACTTCTTATTTGTGGAAGGGCGAAATGGGCGGTGACTATTAGACGCCTTCATTATAGCCATCTTTCTCTATCGCACGGATTTCTATGACTTACTNTTAACCATTTCTGCAAAAAGTGCATTAAAAATACCCGACTATTACTACAAAAAGAATTTCGAAGTTTTCATAAATATCGTCAAAGTTTAGAGAGCTGAATGTAATTTTTGCAAGAAGCAAAGCCTGACATTCCTCTAAATAATTAATAAATATGTTTAAAGCGTATCCAGCTCTTATTGTGTGGAAATTGTATTTTTAATTCACTAAATTTTCACATAATCTATGAAAATTTAACTGTGATAATTTCGTTTGGAGTGTAGAGTGAAGAGAGTAAGGTGCGCCTACGCCTAAATGGTGACGTCACTAAAGAGCACTGACAAAATTATGGCAAATATTGGCATGAAAATGTAACTTTCAGTCGTTTTTCCAATAGTCTAGAGCTGTTGTAGCCTAAACATCTTCATTTATCACTCATTTTATTATGCAAAACAGGTAACGTTTCTTCAAAAGTCCATCTTGACATAATGTTTAAGGTCAAGGTCACGTTTATACTATACATACTTAAATTTACTCTATAAACGATTCATACCATAGTATATATATATGTGGAAATTTTGACATTTCAGCTGGTCTCAGGTGACGTCATGCGCAGACAGGGCGACATTGAGCTGGCTAACGAGCACAGAGCACACCATATTATTTTGGAGCAACAATTGGATGTTTTGTTTTCAAAGCACACTTTGTACAAAGGGAAAATGGGAAAATTCAGTAATTCGACAAAAACGAAAAAATAAACCATAATCATTGGATATATTTGGAATACTCAAGCACAAAATTTTAATCAGAAAAATGTGCTGATCTCAAAAATAGTATCTAAAAGAAAAACAAACTTGAATGTCATTTCTCCGTGCTCATGAATCCAGTGATCAATATACCGTGACATACATCTCCCGTTCACGCGATTTTAATAATAACACGATACTAAATCCTGTCTTGGTTAAATCCCCGTTTTTAGATCGACGACAGGCCTCTTGAAGGACTTCTGAAATTACATAATTAAAATGACTTGGATTTTTATTGTTTGGGTTTCCAGCCTCTGAATTGTGTTAAATTCCTTCCAAATTCCTCAACTTTGGAGTGTACAGAATGACGGCAAGTACAAATAAGTCAGTTAATTATTCATTTGGTTAAATTTAAAATATTCAAAATATTTAAATAAAACCACTACCTAATCGTAATTAGCAAACATAATTCCAGAAAAATATACCAAAAGACAAACCACAGCAAATGTAAATAACCAAAATAAATGATTATAATCACTATCTCTTTGCATAATTCTGGGAGAGATGAATAATTGAAATATAAATATTAAATTTTGTTTGTAATGGACATTATCTGTTCATAATGAGTAATAAGATCACTGGTTCATTGGGTACCATTTGTATGGCATAAATAGTTTTATAGACAGCAGATTAGTTTCATCTAATTCTAATCATTAGAATTTAAAATATTCTCTAAATTTGATTACTTAACCTTGAAATTATAGGAAATAGTTTGATATCTACACACCTAATTACTAAATACGATTTAGATAAAATAATTCCTTTTATTTTTATTCTATTATCATTATTATATTCAAATTACGTACCTCGTACCTGTTAATAACGACCAACTGTTGCAGAAATTTTAGCGACATATGGATATACATTTGTTTTCAACAGCAGTAGCACAAATAGTGCACACCATTCGTGCTACTTTTTTGAAGACACCCTGAATAAAAACTCAATGTTGCCTTTAAATTGTAACATTTACTTGTAAACATGCAGTAATTACGTATTATAGAAACAAACAAATAAATATTTTATTTTTTATTGCGTTTTAGTAAAATATGTTTGCATATTTTAATAAATGTTTCTTGTCTTTTTTTTATTAACAACAACCAACTCATTAAATGTTCTGTTATCTTAATAATGATCATTTAATATATTCCAGGTATTGGAAACGTCAGAACAAGTAATAATATTAATTACATATTCCATGTTTTGTTTTCAAATTTACTTTAAACTGCGTAGACACAATATTTAAAATAATATGCAATGGATTTACTACTTTTTCTAAATGAACGTGGAGTAAACTATCTGCAAATTAATAATTTTGGTAAATACTAAACGTATTGTTATCAGTTTGTTTAAAGATTTCACTTTAATTGGCCAAATGTATGATCAAAATAAGAAAAAGAATTTCTGTAAGGAAATATATTCGTTTTCGAGATACGGAGTAGTGTTGAAGTTAAAATAAAAACATACTTTCGAAAATACCTCTGATTCTCTGAAGTTGTTTAATATCGAATGATAAAACATGGGCTAATAGATTTAGCCAGTTAAAGGTAAAAATTCTTTAAATGGGGACATAAATATGTCAACCAGTGGCGAAAATACTGCGATCACTATCACTGGGTATTTTGGAAATTCCATAGTTTTTCTTATCTAAAAATACGTTTTATAAATATACACATAATGTAACCTAGTACAGCCCGGAAAAATTATTGCCGCAGAAATTTTGCATTTTGTAGAGGCAGCAGTAGTGAATATAATATTAGTCATTCCATTATTAGAGAAGACCGTTTTTTATTTTAAATTTGACTGGTTAATCATGAAAAAAACTAATGATATTATTGATATTGTGGAAAACAACTACTCTGCGGGCTCATGTCCTGTCCTGCATAAATTACACCCGTAATATCCACTAAACAACTAAAATCATTTATCAAGAGAATCACAAGACACAGAGCGGTTTCAAAGTTATTAGTTCTCATAGTGAGACGACCGACGAACAATTTAGGTACCTATTTGTATGTTTATCTTCCGACATGTTTTAAATGTTGGTGACGATTAAGATTAGATTAACAAGTATGATATACTTTGTAGCTTATTTCTCACCACATAATTAGGTCAAAATAGACATTTCAGTTTACTAGGTATAATTCGCTTGGACACTATTATAAGTAAAATGTCAAAAGTCCCCACCGATCCCATGCGTGTAAAAAATGTATTCAAGGTCAAAGGTCGCAAATATCGTCTTTTGCATTTTTCTCGTAAACGATAAGTGTTATCATAAAAATAGAGACAAAAGTTGTAGATCATGCAATTGTTTTCAAAAATTGTCCCAATACTTTTTTCTTACGAATCACCATTCCAGAGATATCACCATTTCAAAAGTTGACGAAGACACGTTCTGCAAGTACGTGACATGATATGCACACATTTCTGCACCACCTATGAGGTAGTGTACTCGGCGCGTTTTTTTTTAACGTGGTTTCCCCGGTAGGCATACTCCGCGATCTATTGTGATTCAGTTCAATAAAAAATGGTACTATTGGTTATGATTAAACTGGAAAGAATTATTATTGATTTTGGGAAAATTTTAATCTGACTGATAATCTTCAAATGCTACTTCAACAATAATGTCTTCTTCGCTTTCTTCTTCATCTTCATCTTCTTCCTCTTGCTATATCTATGAATTGTTGGCTCCAAAATGTTATACATATATTAATTTCCATCCCCAGTCGACTTCTGGGTTCAGTTGATTACCTAGCCACACTTGAACTTGATAGTATACTCGATATAAGTGTTGATAACTTGATAAGCAGAAGCAGATGGAGGAAGACAGGTGGGGACTTTTGACATTTTACTTATAATAGTGTACCAAAGACCTATACCAATATTTAGCTCTATGTGAATTATTGTAAACTTACTAGTATTTTTTGGTCTATTTTGACCGGATTACACAACCTTGCATACTTAGTGACTATTATTTGTATTTTCAGATATTATACGGGGAGGGGTGAATATATTTGGAAGAGCTGTTGACAGAGTAGTAAACACTTTCGGGAGAATTGAAGACAGGCTTAGAGCCCTACTTGAACTTTTTAGGAAGCAGCTGCTAAAAGGAATCCCAGAACTGAACATACCTATTTTGGATCCTCTACATATCAACAAAATCGATTTTGACGTTAACCATGATTCCGCAAAGTAAGTAAAATTTACAGCAGTACAATCCGCGCACAAAGAAATCAAGACGAAGGAATTCGTAGATATTATGTACCAGCTAATTAATGTGTTTGTAATCACATTATTTCTTAAAGTTTCTAACCAGTATATTTTCTTTGCAGACTGAAGGGTGGTGCTGAAGATATCACAGTAAAACATATCTCAAAATTTATCGTAGATAAAGAAAAGTTCACAGATCTGGGTAACTTAAGATTTAAACTCGATCTCAATTTAACGTTTCCTTATATAAAGGTAAATGGTACTTATAAAATTAATGGAACAGTTGGACAAGCATTTGTGATACATGGAAATGGACCTTTCCGGTAATTCAATACTACATATATTTGTTAAACATTTCGAACGTTTAGATGAAAATAAAATCAGTAATTTCTAGGATTAACCTGATCAATTTGAAACTTGGCACGTCGACGATTTTAAAATTCAACCTACCTGCCCGCCTGAGAGTTGAACAAATCAACGTAGATGTGAAGCTCAAAAAGTTGGAAGTAAGGCTGGTTAGTTGTAGAAATAGTTGAAATATTAAACCGCCTTAAATTTTGTAGAATAACTTTGGGAACCTTATGAACGATAACGAAACTGGGCAGTTAATCAACAGAGCCATCTCCGAGATGGCTCCGGAAGCGCTGGATATTTTGTGGCCGGAAATAAGACCATCTATAGAGAAACAAATCATAAAAGTAAGATTATATTATAATGTTATATTAATTTCGATAATCTACAGGGTTTATTAAATATGAGTCTACAAATTGATAGTTTTCGTGATAAAGGATGTCGAAATTTAAAAATTCACATTATCTAAAATCTCTACGAATATGTTTCATGTAGAATAACAAAAAATGCGTATTATGTGGCAGGATGCCAGGGTCACTGACATTAAAAACCTCAAATACTCATCACGATCACACTTGGTAACTATACTACTGCATTTTATTTAAAAAATGACAATTTTTGAATTATTATTTTTTTTAATTATAAATACAAGCACCTCATTAAATCTAAGAAAATTCGAAACTATTCATTTAACAAAAAAAAAGTTTGTTCGATTTTTTTTCTAAAAATACAATTTTATATCTAATAATAATTATGAAAAGTCTCAAAAAATAATTGTCATAATTCTATTTCTGGACCACTTTTTGGAATTTTTGTAAATAAATTGTATTTAAAATTGTTTTCAGCAAAAAAGCCTAGGACTTCTTTTCTTGAGATAAGTACTTAATTGTAGATCTACTTTACATTTTGTGAAGTACTTGGAGGTGCTTGGTAACGGTTAATGTAAGTTAAGTGAGATAAAAACAAAAAATCATTCAGTTTTGAAATAAACAATGTTCCAAAAGTAACGCATGCTATTTTTATTCCAAAGAGTTGACAACATTGTGCAGGATCACATGTTAGGCAAGTTCGGTATTAATATCTAGACGCTCTAGATGTGTTTTGTTCTTTTCTGATTGTAATAGATGAAAAGAGATATATCTAGAGCATCTAGATGGCAATCCGGAACTTGCCTGTTGTAGTAAACATGTTGCGGTTAGACAAAATTGGGCGCCATACGCCATACGAGCAAATGAAAATTCATTACAAGTACGGAGAGTGTGTAGCTGAGACTGTGCACAAATTACGTGGAATTTTCAGTACTTAGAAGGAACGCCCCGAATGAGTTGTCAAATTTGAACAAACAGGTTCGGTTGGAGACAAAAAAACAGGCCGGCCTCGTACTGGCTGTTCAGCCAAAATTCCCGCAAACTTAGTGCGCCGTCGGTCAATGGAATTAAACATTTCAAAAGGCATAATACAGCGGATTTTAAACAAAAAATCTGCATCTTCATCCTTTTGTTAAAATCCGTTTTTTGAAATAATTACAGTAACCGACGGCGCAAGGTTGTGGGAATTTTCGCCACACTCTCACTGACTGTAAGCCTGTTTTTTTTTATTGTCTGCAACCGAACCTGTTTGTTCAAATTTGGCAACCAATATTTTCCAAGTTGTTTCATTCGGGAAGTTCCTTCTACCAAAAATTCCAAGTAATTTGAGCACAGTCTCAGCAACACACTCTCTCAAATGACTTTTCACAATATTCACTCGCTCATCCGTCATATAGCGCTCCATTTTGTCTAACCGCAATGTGTTTACTACATACATGTGTTATTGCACAGTGCTGCCAACTGGAATAAAAATGATGCACAATTCAAATCGTGCGCTACTTTTGGGGCACCCTTTAAAATAAAAACTATCTTGGAAACATCTTTAGAAGTTATAAGCAGCAATCAAATTTTTAAAATATTCAATGATGTCGAATTTCTGGGATTTTCTGTGAGAGAGGCTCCTAATATCTCCATCACATCTTCATACTCCTATATCTACTAATTAGATAAATATTTAGTCTATCAACATTTTGCATAAAAAATCTTAAGAAATAGTTAAGAATCGTAATTTCAACACTCTGTATCTCAGAATCTATCATTTTGCAGACCCTTATTTGTGAATTATAATTCCTCAAAGAATTAATTAACTGTTAGGCATACCTTTGGTAGGAACAATATTTTATAGTCAATTACACTGCAAGCAAAAAAAAATCAAATAAGAAAAATCAATGCTATATATGTTGCAAAATACCAAGGCTAATGTTGAAAATATAGGAAAACTGTTGTTTCTATTTACCTTGTACTATTTTCTTTTGATACTACATAAAATAAAACAATTAGAAATAATTTAAAAGATTATAAATAATATTGTTATACAGGGTGGGCCATTAGTGTGAGAAAGTAAAATAACTCCCTTGTTACTCATAATACAGAAAAAAAGTTTATATAAAAGTTATACGGAATCAAGAAACCTAAACTACAAAATTAATTTGATACATATAAGGCGATGAGTAAAAACAAAACACGAGAAATATTCCATTTTTTAAATGGAATATCCTGTATATTTTTAAACATACAGATTTCCAAGAAAAAACTACATATGGCAATATGAACAGTTTATCATTTTAGTGTGGGGTTGCAAAGTTATGTACAAAATGCTTCGAATTTTGGAAAAAACATGACCTCGAAGAAGTTGCATTCACTTTTAGCTACTAACACTTGGAACAAAATCGACATAGTTATAGGCAAATGTTAGACAAAGGCTCCTATATTAACCAATATCGATATTTTATACAGGGCATTTTTTATAATACGATCATTTTTATAAAGTTGAAACTTGATATTCTAAAATTTTTCAAATGGAACACCCTGTATTTTATTGTTCTATTTTAGTCACATATCGATCCACTTCAACTTTTATTGAGCATGTTCTATATCTAACATTGTTAGTTTTTAAGATATAGCAACATTTAGGTGTAGAACATACTTAATAAAAGTTGAAGTGGACTGATATGTGAATAAAATAGAACAATAAAATACAGGGTGTTCCATTTGAAAAATTTTACAAAATCAAATTTGAACTTTCTAAAAATGATCGTATTATAAAAAATGCCCTGTATAAAATATCAATATTAGCTATATAGGAGTCTTTGCCTAACATTTGCCTATAACTCTGTCAAATATTTTTCCAAGTGTTAGTAGTTGAAAGTTAATACAACTTCTTCGGGGTCATGTTTTTTCCAAAATTCGAAGAATTTTCTACATAACTTGGCAAACCCGCACTAAAATGTTAAACTGTTTATATTGCCATATACAGAATTTTCTTAGAAATTCATATGTTTAAAAATATACAGGGTGTTCCATTTAAAAAATGTAATATTTGGCGTGTCCCGTTTTTACTCATCCCCTGTGTGTTTCAAATTAATTTTGTCCTTTAGGTTTTTTGATTCTGTACAACTTTTATATAAACTTTTTTTCTATAGTGAATAACAAGGGAGTTATTTTACTTTCTCACACTAATGGCCCACCCTGTATAAACAGTGTAAAGAGATTGTTTTTCATTTTTTTTTGAGATTTTTATAAATAAAGAATACAAGGAAATGTGAAATAGTTCAAATCAAAATCAAAATATTTTTAGAATAACTTAAAACATGAAAAGTTCTTCTCTCTGGCAAATAATCTACAGACACACTGTAGTTCTTTGACAAATTCTCTTTAATAACCTCTCCTTTTTCTCCAGTATATAAACAACATACTGGAAAATGCCACAGTGGTGAACTTGGCGAAGAGACTTTTCAACATCCCATAAAGTGGAGAACTTTTGTCTTCGACTACTATTTAATGTGGAAGAAGACAGACAACACATCACATAAATTGTGGAGTAGCATTTTTTGGCTCCTTGCCAATTTAGTTGTTTTTTAATTTAACACTGTGATAGCCTATGTAAATAAACCTTTGGGAAATAGGTACTGGATAAAACAATTAGTCACATACATACAAAAACATTTATTGTAGTAAATAAAATATCTTTAAGTCGAAAATAAATAACTTTACAAAAAGTGAATAGTTTTATTAAAATGAGTGATACTTTACCATTAATTGGAATTTTATTTGGTTAAAATTTACACGTAACACAACAGATAAATACTGCACGGTAACATCAATTAAGAGCATATTAAGGCAGTTAAATGGTAATCAGATCTACGTTAAATATGCACAGAAAAAGCATCAAGTATTAAAAAACGCTACTGAAGTAATTATACGAAATTACAATTGCCACGGGAAAATTTCAGTACTTGCGCTAACTCTTAATATTAGCAATTATCTTCTACACCGCAAAGAATGGCACTTTCTTTGATAGTTTCATCAAAGTTATTGTTAAAATCTGTTAATAATGCGGCAACAAAAACTTTGAAATGCCGTTACATTTTGCCATCCATTTAATGTCATTTGATTTAAACATAAAAGTCGTGAAAAAAATTGTACTACAGCTCGTCATGGTGTTGCTTATGTTTATACTGCTCAACGATCTCTTTTACCCGTCTCAAGATATGAGCAGCATCTTGATTGTCTATCGTGAAGAATTCTTTGGGAGATAAATACAGCCTAAGAGTAGGATAACCTGTTATACCTTGCCTACCGCAAAACACACGTTCTGCCTCGCAATCAATTTTTGCGGTCCTAACCCTGCCCTCTAACCTCTGAAAGTGAAATATAAACATAAAGTATGTTCGCTTTGGGAGATTTTATCAAATAAAAAGTTGAACATTTAATTCCAAACTGCACCGAATACTGTTCTGAATCTAATCGACAATTTGATAAATTTGCTCATATCGTAGTTTCTAGGAAACTACTAGGTTTCAAATGTATTGGCCCCTCACCTTGAACATATTAAAAAAAAGTAAATTGTGAAAAATATATGGATTATAACTTAAGGGGTAAAGCTACTATAGAATTTTTGAATAAATGGTTTAAACAATACTTCATTATGTGAAGAATATAGGAAAAAAGTTTTAGTTGGGGGAAAAAATGGGAACACAAGTTTTTTCGAAGTAGACCGCGACCACTCGCAGCACGCTGCTTATTGTAACTCGTGAGACCGCGCGATAGTTACCTATTATAGAGGCCAGATTGAGCGTCAGATCAAACCGAAAAGAAGAAGATGAAGAAAATTTCAACATAGAACCACAATTATATGGTGCAGGCATTGCTGACTAAGACTATGCATACAGAGTGTATGTAAGTGGGGGTCATATTTATACAGAAGCTTCCCTTGACCTTTAGAAACATATATCAATAGTTTATTTTTCAAATTCCATTGTAAAAACTTTTTTTAGTAATTTTCGTACCCCACCACTGGACAAGCTAGTGTAACCTCAAATAATAGAGGGCTTTAGTCTCAGCACACCTTTCCACACCATTCACGAGTTACTTTTGTTGAATATGTGTTCACCACACAAACAGTAAGTACTTAACAAGTTTAGTAACCCAGCAAAAAACTCAAACAGTTAATCAATAATGATAAATGAAATATACAAAAATAAATAGTCTGTTGATGGATTCCAGCGATGAAAAACATTCAAATTCACAGTTAGATGTAATGTATCTCAATGCAGAACAACAACTAACCCCCCTTTGCTTTCTCACTATTGACCCGCACTATTTCCCTTCACATGCATTGTAGGTTGCCTACAATTCATGTACATATTTGTAATACATGAATATTACAGTGGCGGCGTGCACAAGTATTAAAGTACATTTTAAAAAACTAATTAGGTATAACTCGACAATTTATTTGATTAAAAAAAAAGAATTTCGGATTTGTATTCAGGGAAACATGTACCATTACCTCTAAAAAAAATGACCCTCACTGAAAGTTACACCCTGTATAACAAATTTCTTATGCTGAATAGCAACAAAACCATTAAAAACGTTTTTCAAAAAACCACTTTTTTTAACTGGCCGGAAATATAACTCAAAAAGTTTCCAACGAATCGACTTGAAATTTTGTAAAGAGCTTCACAATAACATAACTCAAGGAAGATCACAGCAGTTTTTTGACTGATTAACAATTTTCGTTGTTATTAATTGTTATTAATGCACAAAATTTTTGGCTTTTTTCAATACTTTTTTTGAATGTTCACTAAATCAACAATTACTAATATTTTTTAATTTTACGTTTCCTAGCGTTTACTATTACATTAAAAAAATTTTGTTTTTTGTTCCAAGACCAGCCATTAATAAGAAACCCTTCTAACCATATAGTCCTCTGAAAAAAGGTGTCGTTTGTTGCCAGCACTTACAGACGCCATTTTGAATCCAAATCGTTTGAGAAAATTGACAATACTACTGAAAACGTGTACAATAAAGCCTTTTTGTTCCTGACAGTATATCTTGTAACCATTTTTCCTTAAAAATTAAAAAAAAATCCTTTTTTTCCAACCCCTACAGTGCCCCTTAATCATCATCTTTTTCCAGAGGGCGCCTGTAGCTTTTCTAAAATTGCTTGTCATTTGCTGTTGACATTGAAACTGTATGTCCATTTACCCATGTTTTGATGAAATAAACTTTCATAAAATTCTGGATGTACAAGGACTACAAGGGACCCTAACAAATACAATTTTGCAAAGAAAAAATCAAAAAGGACAGTTCGAAAATGATTTAAAAATATGCATCTGCACGGCACTGGAACCTGTCCACTGTAAAAACTTACCTCGCCCAATGCGACCGATATGGCGGTGTGAAAAAACGAACAAAAACTTTCACAAGGAATCAAATAAATAGAATTTTATAGCACCTATTTTATATCGGCAAATTCAATTGCTTTAGACTTTATTAATTAATAAAATTAATTTGTGTTTTTAAATAATAAAATCATTTGACATACCCGATGTTATAACAACAATTGTTCAAAATTTTGTCCACCGATGTATAAACACATTTGGGTCCGTCTTATATGAGAGTTTATATGAACTAAGACAAATGTTGTCTTGCTTCACCATACATTAAAACCGAATTGCTATACACAAACCATTTTTGACACTAACTATTAAAAAACTATTGTAAACACCACAGATAACAGGTAAACACTGTCGCAACCAGGATTGCAAAATCGGATTTCAGTATTCGGAGTCGTTGAGGCCACGTAGCTCTCCATGTGTATTGCAAATGACGGTAGAGACTACAGTTGTCCAGCTATATAGTCGTTAAATGTAGTATAACTTCAACATTTTTTTTACGATATTCACTCCATTTCTCATGCCGCATGTATTCTCAAATTTTTTTGGATTAGTTGTAAATCACCCTGTATATTTTTAAATCTCTTCACCATATCACAATTTCATTTTTTTCTATCGGCATACCTTTTTGATTTTGTTTTAAATAACAAAAATTCTTTTCATGGATAGTACACAGTAAAACTTTTTGGGATAATCCAGACACATCTTCATCTTTGCAGTTTGTAGTTTTAACTTTCATCGACATTGCAAGTTCATTTCTACAATAAAATTTGTGAATCTTCCTATTAGGATCACATTGTCAATTTCAATTCTTTTTCTACCACTTGTTTCAGTTATCTGTTTTTTTACTCTTCCACCATTTTTTAGTTTATGATAAACACTTTTGTTAAAGAGCTGTACCATGACATCACTCACCAACATGTCTGTATTTTGCACTCGCTATTTATTGTAGAATATTCTTGATCTATTAAATCTGTTCCAATTATCAGATTGACCGCTAACACCTGTGTTTGATTCCATTTTTAACAATTCTTATGAGAATAACTAAACTGAGAAAGTAGCAACACACTTTTTCCATTTGTATGCTTATGACACACAATGACAAGTATAGCTGGAAACTGAGTTAGGAGAGGATTTCAATAAATGAAGCTATGCAACCTCGGTAGTCTTTCTTTGCAAAGACAAGCAAAGACAGAAAAAAGCGTTTATCTGTTATAAGCGCTAGAACATTCCAAATATACACACACAGGCTGAACATACTGGAACACTATGCAAAATGAACAGCACATTACAATTTCCATACGAAAAATAAACAAATTTATTTTATTACTTTAAAAGCAGTAAAAATTGTAATTTGATTTACTACTTTGGCACTGGAGCATATAAAACAGAGCAAATATATCAAAGACGATTACATTAAAAACATTTAGTTCCTTTTCCTTAAACATTAAATGCGAAGAGCCAACACATTTGAAACATATAGTAGTAAATTTTTAAAATTAAACTCACCTGGGCCACTACCCTGAACTCTGGCTCGAAATGTGTGCAGTGCCCGCACCAAGGCGCATAAAAGTCTACAAGCCAAGGAAGAAAATAATTTTTAGTCAAGATATTTTGCCGGAAGTCTTCGGCAGTGAACGATTCAATTGAAGTCGGCAAAAAACTAAGAAGCCACCTCTTGAGAGACACAGAATCACGATTACCAGTATATATGCTACAAAAAAAAAATTATCAAATTGCATACTTTGCAAGTCAGCAAATTACTTACGCGACACTGGTCAGTCCCCTACTTCCAAGGGGGTACAACCTGATTGTCGGGTAGCTTCTGATATTTTGGGCATTGCAGAGTTCCGCATTGGCCACGCAGTCCACTTGAGCAATCTTAACCTCGGGAAACTGAGTCACCTGAATATAAAAAAATTTGTAACTACAACAGTGAATATTTAAATATTCCAAAATCGTCTACCTCTTTAGCAAATTTTCTCCACTCTGGAGCTAGTTTCTGACAAGGGCCGCACCAAGGGGCATAAAAATCCACAGCCCACAATTCGTCCTTGCGTTTCCTTGTTATTTGGGCAAAATTGACCTCATCCAATGACAGCACTGTGTACAAAAGAGAACCAATTAAACTGGTAGAATTTGATGGAGATAAAGGACCAGGTATTTTTTTATTATTAATTATTTTATTTTACCGAGTTAATTGAAACATTTTCTTGAAAAATTTTACAAAACAGATAAAACAGAGCTTGAATAAAATTCGGCTCAGGAGAGTGACAGGACTCATAACGGGGCACTGGGGAGTGGAGGAGGGGAGGAGGATGAGGAGGAGTAGGGGAGGCAGAAGAGGAGGAGGCGGAAGAGGAGGAGGAGGCGGAAAAGGAGGAGGAGGCGGAAGAGGAGGAGGAGGCGGAAGAGGAGGAGGAGGCGGAAGAGGAGAAGGAGGCGGAAGAGGAGAAGGAGGCGGAAGAGGAGGAGGCGGAAGAGGAGGAGGAGGCGGAGAAGGAGGAGGAGGAGGAAGGAAAAGACGACGAAACTGAAACTGAATATGGTCCGTTTGGTACAATCTGTATATTTGATTTGTTTGTGTTCTTTATGTTTTGTTTTTGTGTAGAAATACATTTTTATGTGAAAGCAAAGTATTTGGAATGTAGTTTACTCTTGGACCTTAGTAATAACACTCAATTTAATAATTACCTAATAATTTCAAAAAATTAAATGCGAGATTGAAAACAATAAAATAACAATATACAAAAATAAAGTATAAAAATTAATGAACCATTTTACAATAAATATTTAACCACTTACCGATTGGATTTATCATATCATTTACAAACTCAGCTATAGAAGCCGCGTTAGGAACGCTGTGGAACTTGTGCACTTGGCTGTTGTTGTACAATACGATCGTCGGATACGAATTGATGCCGTGCGCCGAACAAAGCGCTCTGTGCAAAGTGCAGTCGATCGTACCGAACTTGACTTTCTCAGAATCAAATTCTTGACTAGCTTTCCTCAGTTCTGGCATAACTTTCCTGCATGGCGGACACCAGGGAGCGTACCAATCGACAAGCCAAGGGGTACCTTCGAATAATTCAACCAAGAAACGATAATGAAATGTTACCTAGCAAGTTTTCTTACCATCCTTTATTAAATTGTTGAAGTCGGCAGGCGAGAGAGCGTGGAAATTGACAGCTTTGACGCCGTCCCGGGCGAATGCCGCCACTTCGTGGAGTATATCTCTGCCCTGATGTAACTCGAAAGCTCCACCAACCTTCAAGATGCCCCAAGTGGGATATCGGACGACGTTTAGAGTCGCACAGAGAGCAGAATTTTTGCCGCAGTGGATCAGTCCTGAAATATTTGTAACAGAATAACATAATCACGACCTACCTTCATACTACAACCTCCTAATAATGTAGGTATAGAGGTTTACTGCACTTACCTATTTTGATATTTGGAATAAACGCGGGCAGGCGTTTCAATTGCAAATTCAATTCAGTAGCTGCTCCTAAATAAAAACAAAGCAACCAGGGTTTCTCGTCTTTGGAGGTGTCCCTTAACCCAGTACGAATTTTCTGAAAAAAAATAAAAAATACATATAGTAAACCGGTGGAAATACAATAACTTAATATTATTACCTTGAACCCTTCTGCATCTACAGATTTGGGATTTGGAAGTTTATTAAGAACGTTCTCTAAGATTTCTTTTGTATCTGCGCCTTTTATGCTGTGGACAGCTATTTTACCATCTTTAACCTGCCAAAATGCGATTGGGTGGTCTTTATAATTCGGTGATATATTTACGCAAAGCGTTTCATCATTCACAATTCCAGTCGATATTAACCCTTCCTGTAAAATATCAAGTAATTTAATATAAACTCTAAAAAAACAATTTATAATGTAATACCAACGAAGCAGCTAATTTTGTCATAGTTTTCCTTTCTGGACAATTAACATTGTTATCGCCACAAAGGAAAAGTAACCATTGTTTCCTGTCAAAGTCAAGGTTTTCCCAATCACTCGATGAAATTTCTTCAATATCGACCTTTATTTTTGACAGCACAAAATCCTCTAACGCTTCCACACTCCTGTCACCTCTATATCGTTCACCTTCGTACACATGGGACTAAAAACGGGTATTAAAATAAAAAAATGTTGTTAAAATATAAAACGTAATACATATTGACATGTTAATTAAAAACGAGTATGTGGCTTAATAAAAATAATTTTTTTTTAATTCCATTTATAATTAAATACATTAAGATAAATCGATGTATATAATATAATATATAAATAGAATGACCAAAAGGTCACATTTAACTAGAACTTCCTAATCTAATATCCTAAGATAACGTGTTGAGACAAAACAATTTTAAATATTAAAAAAATCATTATTCAATAATTAACAGAAACAGTATTACTGAAAAAAACTCTGTACCATTTTTTTAAGTAAAAGTTGTACAACATACCTCTTTCTCGTAATACAACAATGTGGGATAAGCTTCTATTGACAGCTGGTAGCATAAAGCGTAATCATCCTCACAATTCACAGCACCAATACGTATAACACCTTCTAATTCCCGCGCCAATTTTCGCCAAGTCGGGGCCAATTCATGACAATGGTGGCAATTGGGAGAATAAAAATTAACAAACCATGCCTGGTTGTTGTCCAAAACATTCAGTTCTACAGAAAAACAAATTAAATTATAGCTTTACATTCAACAGAGATTAAGTTCATATTAAGTAAGAAAAATACATTTGATTATAATTTATATGCCTACCATAATCATTTCTGCTGAGGGTCACAATAATTGGATCATCGTCATATATTCCAAACTGGTCTCTGTAATATGTATAACTGTGGTACTGTTGTTTTTTAACAGAATCGGGTGAATCACCATGCAGATCGTAATGTTTTCTAGTCTGCGGGTCCTTTAATACTTCATAAGCCCTAGCTAATTTTACAAAAACCGCACCAGCATTTTTGTCATCCTAAAATATCAAAAGGTAACAGAAGAACTTAGCAACAAAATTATATTAATGTTATACTTGATTTTTGTCTGGATGTAGTTTAACAGCCAGAACTTTGAAGGCTTTTCTGATTTCTTTAACGGTTGCGTCTCTGCCTACACCTAGGAGTTTATAATAATCATCCTCCTCCTCAGCTTGTAGGTGTACACAGAATAACACAATAAGCAGACTCCCGATACACAATTTCCTGAAAATATAAAAATATCAAAATTGTGACAAATTTGTTTACTGCGTGATTTTACGTAAATAATATATTAAATAATTACAAAAAATCTTTAAAATTTATTTCTGTAGTATTTTAATCTACTAAAAAATATTTTGAATAAAATTCATGACAAATTAAGTGATTTTAGGTATATACATATTTGACTTTGTTTATTATAAAAACTGGAGCTACTTATATAGTATGTTTAAAGGCACAATATTCAGAACAATTCTGGCATAAAGTTTGATTTGAAACACATTAGCTTTAAAAATATTTTATTTAATAAAGAAACTTGTTAGCTAAAGCTTTTAATTCATAATTACAATTCTAAACCATTAATACATCTGCAACACGGGTTAATAAAAAAATCTGCAGATGTAGGAATGACGTGGTCCTAAAAGCTCTACAAATCAACATAAGACAATCACAAATTAAGAAAATACAGCCGCTTAAAATATTTTACTTACATCTTCTGTAGTTAATAAAAATCGTTGAGATTCTTGTTCACAAAGTTGTTGTACATATCAACCTCAATTTAACTGATAACACCCACTGTTGTACATTATTCTGCTTACTGCAAATGCGGAAGTTACAAAATTTTATAGGATTTCGGCCCGGCTTTTTATTAGTTTGAAACAGATGTCTTATGTCATGTCAAAGTTACAGCTTAATGTAGCCTTGAATGATCTTTTGCAAATAGTTAAAAGATGGCTCTGAAAAAACGTTTTTAAAGTTACAGATTTCTTTCTTATAAATATAAATAACCTAACCTCGAAACGAAACAAACTCTAACCTGTTGGTTTCTAACCTAAAAATTTATAGTCAAAAATTGAAAATCTAGTTTTATTTAAAAAATGAATAAGTCTTGGAGAACGTATTTACTATGGTTTGCTCAAGAACACATTGAATTCAGATTTGCAGTATGTATTCACAATTTTTTGTAATATTTCTAGTGAAAAATTAATTTCAGGAAATAGATTCCCTGCTGTCACTTTTCAGCATTGAAATGAGGTTTGCGCAAAAGCCCAACAACGTAAGTTAAGTATATATTGTTATTTTGTCGGTGTCATTTACTTATTATTGTTAAAGGAACCGTATTGGATTGTAGAATTTGCTTCTGAAAACGATGTCAAATTATTAGCCAGTAGGTCTGTATCTCTACGAAACTGTCTAGAACTATGGGGTCATGAGAAAGATATGTGGAAACTACATGAAAAGCTTAAATGCTACCCAAAGCATTTAATGGATCCATATTTTCAACCCAACATATCCTTCAAGATCGAAGTAGAAACTTTCTGCAGACATTTCACTCAAAAACAAAAAGTTGATAAGTTAGAGGTAGGAGTACATTTTATCATAATAACAAAAATTTTAGGATATCTTTCAGACTTTCAGTTATTTACCAGTACAAGGACCAGTTAATTTGAAGAACCCAGATGTTACTTTACAGTATATTGAGTATTATGGAACTGTAGCGAATAATCCTCCTGAATTACCATATGATGTATTCTTTGGCAGATGGGTAAGATATTTTCATTTGAATATAATAATCGAGAAATTGCCTTACAAATCATTAAATAATTTAGGTTGCTAGTGGATTAAGACAACTGATAAGGAAGTTTTCTCTAAAAACTAGGAAATTTATTGGTAACACCAGTATGGATCCCCAATTATCACTGTTAATGGCAAATCAAGCTTGTGTGAAAGATGGGGATATTGTATTAGACCCTTTTGTAGGTAGCGGGTCACTTTTAGTAGCGGCTGCAGAATTTGGTGGTTATGTTTTTGGCACCGATATTGATTACCTGATGTTACATGGAAGAACGAGGCCCTCTAGAATAACGCAAAAGGTATTTTATCAAATTGTTAAAGTTAGATTTAAAATTTGTCTACTGTTTTTTAAATTCAGTTTTATTTACGTTCATTTTGTGAACCATTAGAGAAGAGAAAAAGATGAAAGTATAAGAGCAAACATGAGGCAATATAACTTGGAGCATAAATATTTGGATGTCTTGGTCAATGATTTTTCAGTGCCGTTTTGGAAAAATGACTGCCAATTCGACGCAATCATCACAGATCGTAAAGAATTTTATATGGTAATCGTTTTCTAACTGATATAACTTAGATTTTCAGCCCCTTACGGTATCAGGGAGGCCACCGAAAGAGTCGGTACTAGCAAGGAAAATTATACAGTGAGCGAGGAGCATTTATCTACACATATACCTGCAAAAATTGAGTACGGAATATCAAATATTTATAGAGACCTCCTTTTATTCTCTGCAAATCATTTGAAGGTGGGAGGGCGTGTAGTATGTTGGTTTCCAGTATTTAGGTAAATATGTGCATACAGGACAGAAAATAAATATGTATGGTGTTCCGCTTAAAACTCCCCACCCATAGATTTTGAAAACCAAGAGATATAGAATTTCTGAGATATTCCTGAAAATGGTTTTAATTTTTTCAACTTTGCCAAAGAAACTAAGTAACTTTTCAACAAAACTATTTGCACCGTCTTTACTTTGTTGTTGATAACGTTTGGCCGATTAGTAACTAAACATCCTGTATAATTTCTGGTCAAACTATTAATTGGCTAACACAAATTTTATTATCATTTTAACCGACGCAATATGAAAAATGTTCTAAAAGCATACAGGGTTTATGCTTGGGGATCATACTCGAATTGCGGATAACTTTGACCTTTAGGAACATCATAGTTTGTTTTCTCAAGTTTTATCTTAAAAACTGGATTTTTTAAATCTTATTTGAAATTTTCATAATCCACCGCTGGACAGGCCAGAATAAACTCAAATACATTACATATACTAAATTGGGAGGCATTGTCAAATCTCATCTTTCTTGATTCGTATATATAATCATATATTTTTCATCATTAGTCTTCATTGTTAAATTTCTGTATGATATTATGCAAAATCTTGTTTCATGGAATTAATGTTGGCCACTTAATTTTTATTAGGTATGTAATTCACCTGAACAACGTCAATTTCAGATATCGGAGGTATTGCCACTACGATTTTCAAACGAAACACTGCTTTAAGAAAATAGTAGAAAATATTTTTATTGAAAACTTGAAATGATTTTCAAAATATTTCAAATCTGTCAGATTAGTATTTTTCTTTATTTTTTATTATGTACATTTTATAAAACAACGAAAATGATTATAATCAAACATAAATTAGTTTACTTAAGTAATTTTTAAAAACAAAATTTTTTTGAATGTTCGTATTGACGTAAAAAAAATATGGTGACTATAAAATAATGTATGTTGTAAAGTCATATAAAAGCAATCTGTTTTTATAAAATTATATTCCATTGAAACGCGCGGGCAAACAGCGTACAAACACAGCCGCACTGGGCGACTGGGCCATAAATTTTAGTTGTTGACAAATTGCCTAGCAGTACAGTGCAACAATGCGAAATTTGGTGTGATTCAGGTAATTTTAATTTATTATAGGCACCTTCTATTAATCATTCATATTACAATTATTGCGAAAGGGGGAAATTATTCCTCGTTTTGTTTTGTACAAAAACTTAATTTTTTCAAAAATGGCTAATTTTATCGAAACAAATGTAGAGTATCTTTTGCAAAGAGGAATGACCAAAGTATTTAAAAATTCAGTTTTCAGCTTTATAAAATAACACTTGTCAAAATTTTGGCCCAACGAGTGTAGTGGCAAGTCCGTTCCTGACTTCTCTGACAGTATAAAACATCTACTGTAGTAGATGGCATCTACTGTATGGCTTTATGAGCCTTTGTGGTCTACATAAAATATTAAAATTTCATTAAATTACACAAGTCGGTTCAAAAGTTAGAACCGGAAAGGTAAATCGCTGGGTACCCCTTTGGGGCTCTGTATCTCTGTTAAGGGGCACTTTAGGATTTTTTTTTAGCATAAACTAGGGTTATTTTGACCTCCCCTATACACTCCCGAGAGTATGCTATATACTTCCCAGACACCCTGTATATCTACAGGGTGTTGTTTCAAACTTCTTTCCCTAAATCTTGAAAACCAAGAGATATCCAAGTTATGTAAAAATGTATATATAGTGCTCATATAAGTGATTTTAATTCTAAGCACAAATGACATTGCTTTTCATAGTGCTAAATAGATGGCTCTGCGATCTGAAACAATTTTCCCATGACAAGACAAATTGCTTAAAATATCCGGGACATGCATGAAAATAGTTTAAATTTTTTTGAGACCCAATATCTCGAAAATGAAAGCAACTTTTGACAAATTTCTTCCTTAATTTTCAACATATTGACAATATTTGGCCAATTGGTAACTGAATATCCTGTATCATTTCTACTCAAATTGGGAATTGGATAACATAAGCTTTGTTGTCATTTTAGCCAGCAGAATATAAAAAAAAACTCTAAAGCATCCATGACCCAAAATTTTATGATAATGGTCTTGCTTAAAAATATTTTTTTTAAGTTGAAATGTCTAGGAAATCAGTGATTATTTAAGAATTGTTTGTAGTACAAAATATGCTCAGTATTTAATAGTTTTTCACTCTAGATATTATATAGAGGTTAAATATAAGTTACTAACTTTTAGATGAAAAAAAGAATTGCTAATAATTTTTTTCAAAAAGTCTATCCCTTTTTTAACGTTATGACCAGATGCCTATGACTAAAATACTTGATTATATCGGAATAATCACTTTGCGGGAATTATTTCGTATTAAATTGTTAAAACGTTTCGAATTAAAATAAACAAATTGTAAGAATGGTTCGGTGAAAAATGAAATACAGTGTATACTGCTAGGTAGAATATCATTTGTACTCATTATAGAAGTCATCTACTTGGGTAGCTCTTCTGGTTTTCAGGATATCGGCCTATGAACGGAACACTGCCAATAAATTCACTTTACTTTTACAGAGAAGATTATAACGAAAATGGTCTCCCTACTCATCCATGCCTAAGGTTAATAGCAAATTGCGAGCAAGCTCTAAGCAAAGTAACATCTCGAAGGCTACTAACTTTTGTGAAAGTTAGACAACCGACAGAAGCAGAACTTGATTTAAAACATAACGAAATAACTGACTTCAGAGAAAAATATTTTATTATACGAGAGGAAACGAGGAAAGAAAAAAGAATGAGGGAAGCCCAAGTCCGAGAAGAAAATAGGTTACGACATGAACGAGACAACACAGTGAATGCTTAGAATAATTTTTTATTAAAATTTCATAGGTTTTATACTTAAGAAGAAATATTTTATGAAGTTGTTTATTAAAAAATAAATATTTTTAGATTATTTTTTGCTCCTCCCTTTAAATTTCTTTTTCGTAATTTTCCCACCAATCGGCCTGTGGTCTCTGTTATATGAATTAGTTTTATCCACACCCTTGCCTTTACTCTTCATTTTCTTGTCACCTTTGAATTTGTTTCCTTTGAATTTATTATCTTTACCAAATGGCTTTTTCTTTTCGTTGTTATGAGAAAAACTATGCTGGGGACGTTTTTCTGCACTATTTTCTTGTTTAGCCCTCTTATTCCGAAAATGCGGTCCCTCAAACTTCCTTTTGCCTCCAGTACGGTTTGTAGAAAATAGATCTTAAAATATAGTACAAGGTTATTCACATATTCTACCCTCATTATCTTTTTTACTTTCGTACTTAGAAAAAGTTGTTGAAAATTTTGTTGCAATTTCAAAACTACTCAGAACAATTCAATTTTGGAGATATAATCCACTTATAATTTTTTTTTTTTTTGACAAAAAGCCCTGCATATTTTTACATATTTGGATAGAGCACATCCTCAACATATAGTGATGCAAGATTTGAGGAATGTCTAATAATAAAGAGTCTAGAGTTCATTGTTAGAAAACTCGTTTGAACTTATCTTCCTTATTATAGAGATAACTTTCAAAACTTGTACCATTGTGGTCTTGAGAAAGCATTCTATTGAAATATGTAATAAAGTTAGTGCAGAAATCGCAGGTTTATTAATAGATCTATTTTTCTAGTTTTGAAATCACAAGAAAATTACCCACAACTTTACAATACAATAGTAGTCATATTAAAAAACAAACTGCGTTATTATTACCAGAATGTTTTGGCATCGCATCCTCTCATTCCTTATCACTGTCTAGTAACTCACGAAATCTGAAGTTATAGCCTTATAAACGAATTAACTAATTATTAGTCTGGACGATCCCGAGGATCTTCCACAATCGCACTGATTTTTTTCATGACAGATTTCATAATAATGCATTGAAATATATCATTTTTTTTTTTAATTTCAAATTTGCAACCTGGAAAATTTTTTTCTTTTTTAGCCTTAGTTGCAAAATGAAATATACGACACACGAGCGTAATATAGTTATATATTATTACATATTCGGAAAGCTTATGAAAAGAGCTTTAAGTTAAAAAAATAATCGTCAAGATTCGTTGAAAAACAACAGAGTTACAGACTGTCAAATATATTATTTTCAAGCGAATTTCGCTTATTTAACGGTAGGACTATGAATATTATCATCATTTTCTTTGAACTCGCTGTCGTTCGCTTCCCCCACACTTCTGCCGCGCCACGGCTCGCCGAAAAACAAGCGATCCACCAACTTTCGACAATATTTCTTATGCACTTAACATACTTCCACAAATAAAATATTTTTATGTGGGAAAGTACTCGGGTTGCCGGTTATGACAGTATTTTTTTTTGCAGCTACCAACCTAATTTGTTTAACAATAGGCCATCAACTTTGACAGTCTGTCACTCCGTTGTTTTTCAACGAATCTTGACGATTTTTTTTTTAACTTAAAGTTCTTTTAATAAGATTTCCGAATATGTAATAATATCTAACTATATCACGTTCATGCATCATATATTTCATTTTGCAACTAAAGCTAAAAGATAAAAAAAATCCAGGTTGCAAATTTGAAATTAAAAAAAAATGATAGATTTCAATGTATGAAATCTACCATGAAAAAAATCAGTGCAATTGTGGAAGATCCTCGGGATCGTCCAGACTAATAATTAGTTAATTTGTTTATAAAGGCCATAACTTGTAAACTATTCAACTTACCGATTCCAGATTTTATGCGAGTTATTAGACAGTAATAAGGAATGAGAGGATACAATGCCAAAACATTCTGGGAAAAATAACGCAGTTTATAAATGTTTAATTCAAAAGTCACAAATAAACTTCTTCTGTTAATAACTTTAGATCTAATCAATATTTTTTGACGCTCCAGGGCTAGTTTTGTAGGTCTTTTGAAGACGAAAAAAAGTACTTTACTGTTTTCTCGTGGAAATGAACGAAAAAAAATTATAAGAGAAAAAAGTGAATTTACGTAAAAATTATACAATTAACCACCCTGTAAACAATCTTCCTCCCATTTTTATGACTGTGGAAACTAATATGTATGTTATTGTACATAATATTTAGCATCTATAGTGATAAAATTCAGCTTGCCAAAACAAAATGTCGCGAAATGGTCATTTCCCAGCTTATTTTCCTGGCCTATATTATACAACACCCATCTAAAGTGCCATTTTTGCACGCATGTGAAGTTTTAAAAAAATCCGAAGAGGAAGTTTCTACTACCAATGTCTTCAAAATTTTCAAAATGGAGGAACCAGTTCTTTCTTGATTCAGGATGACGTATTTATTCAACTGACCAAAGTGAAAAAAAAACATTACTGTGCTTTGTATTTGCACTGTTTTCTACTTTATACTTAAAAGTATCCAAAAATGATACGTTTTTAATGTTAATAGACAAATATGTTTTACTTTACCTTTATCAGGTTCTTCACCGACTTCTTGCTTGTAATACTCTCGGTCATCATCTTCCTCGATGGTAGCTGCTTTATTTGCTTCCTTTGAAGATTTTAGCATTTGTATGTCTGTTTCCGTCTTTACCTTGCCTTGTATACCTTTCAGTGAACGTTCTTTCTGTTCTTGTTTCGCATCATCCTTAGCTTTCTTATTAGCTTCCTGAGCTTTCTTCCTCTTCTCTTTCAGCGTCCTTAAAAATAAATTTAAGAGTTATAATTATATTTACACATAATTATTTACATACTTTTTCAATTCCCGTCGTTTTTCAATTTCTGCTTTTTCTTCCTCGGACTTATGGATTAAGTCGTGATATAAAACTTCTCCGTCCAATAAACCATCTTCAATTTTAATTAATTGTAGAGTTAACCGGGGTCCTAATTCACTAAGTCTAATAGCAGATTTTCCTGATTCTATATTACCCCTAGATGCTAACTTTTGTGGTAGAGTTACATGATTTTGAGGATCATCTTCAGCTTCGCTTTCAGATAATAAACCTGTCCTAAAATTAAAAATATATATACCTATAACTGATAAATAAAATATTCTAATTATATTACTTTATGAAAAATTCGGAAATATCGCTACATCTAGCCAGATTAGGAACTTTCCCCTGGACCACCTTTTTTACTCCTTTAGAAACTCCCACAGGAACAACTTTTATAGTGTAGTGTCGAAAATCTATCAGTTTTGTTGTCGGATTATAATTCAACAGTACACATCGCCTTATCGTGTTCAAATCCACAGATGTTAAATTTATCGTAGGAAACATGTTTTGAAACATAGAGGCCATAAGCTTCATTTGTTGACCTTCTCCACTAAAACTATTTAGGACTATTAAAGGAGAGTGTTTAAATGCTGTGTCTACAACAATTTGCTTTTTCAGAGATGAAACGACATCTCTAGCTAGCGAATAATTATGAATTTTGAAAGTTAATGTTGGACCTCTAGGTAAACGCATTATTTTTAAATACATTCCCAATTCTGTTCTGGAAAAGATGGAAATGTGAGAAACGTGAAGAGGTCCAGCTACTGCTACAAAGTCTTTTATAGTATTCTTTTTCCTTTCCTGAAACAATAATTTATTAATAAAACATATAAGTCTTCATAAGTTAATGTACCTTTAAGGATGAAGCCGTAAATGGCTCCATTACTTTTCTAAAATCTTTCGTCAATTCCAATGTATGACCACCAGGAAGTCCTTTATGAATAACAAAGGAATGTGGTGCTTGGACGATATCATCGGGTTCAATGTTATTGTTAATATTCTTTTTAACACAACGGCCTCGTTTTCTTCTTCCCATTATGCTTTTTCACTTCAGGTTGGAGGTTAGGTATGTTATGTTTTGTGGGTTAGGTTCTCAAGCAAAGCATGTAGCATTTGACGTTTAGATTTAGGCCAATTTTCACGATATGACATAGGCAATTTTTAGCTGTCGCTTCTATTTTCAATTTGGTAAACGTCACATATTTAAATAATTTTTTTTTGTCTTTTAATGTTATTACTAAATTAACTTCTTAGCATTTTTTTCTTCAGTTCTTAGACATATATACAAGAACTTATCTTGCTATACATTTTTTGATTAATATCGAATTATAAATAGTGAATATAGATAGTTATTTTATTATATTTTATGTCTTCAGTGTCTTTAAAACAAATTGAACGTAAATTTAATGAATTATATGTATAGTGTAATAACATCAATGAATGTTATTACACCATACATATTCATTTATCATCAAAATATTTACAATTCCAAACGCAAGATGTTGATATGTAAATGTATTTGAAATGAAAGTCTGAAAATTGTAAAACAGAGACTGATTTTACTCCAATACTTTAAAATTAACTATTTCTTCCCGATTAATAATTCGCATTTGGAACAAAAAATGTTTTGCTAATCAAGAAACCAAGTGATTTTTTGATCCAGAAACCTATTGTCATTTTTGTTTAAAAAAGTAGAAACAGTTTGTTTGCTTGAAAACTAATTCAGCAATCTTCAAATAGCAGAAGCTGATAAAGTGGTCTAAGCATGGAGAATGAAGCTGATCCTATCATTGCAAAACAAGAAATATTTCCTATGAAATGCACTAAGTGTAAGAATTTTTAATTTTCTGTAACAATTTGACTAACTTGGACAAATTTTTCCAGTTGATCCTCAGTGGGTTCAAGTATTAATAAATCTGAGAATGAAACACTCGAAAATGTTTACAAGACGCAGAAATTCAGCTTCAGAGGGATGGAAGTAGTGCAACCAACATAATTTTAAATAAAGTGAGAATAATTATTTTATTTTAGGCTCGTCTTTGATGAACTTCAGGAGTCGGGTGCACCTGATTATGTAACTATAACAAAAATTAAAAAGAAATGGATGAATTTGATGACCAGATATAGGGTAAATCAATTTTATTTAAAAATCAATAAGTACAGAATTTTCTAAAGAAAGTAATAAATAAGAAATGTTAAGATCTTATACAAATCTGTCGATTTTTAGCAAATAAAGAATACTACACTAAATCCTGAAACAATAACTTGGCCATATTATGAACAAATAGATAGAGCCTTTGGCAGAGAATCGGAAATTGATTTAGATGGAAAAAATGATAATTCTTTAAATCATTCACTTAACAATGGTATTCGATATTATATTTACAAAAAAAACAAAAAAATATGTACTTGATTTTTTTTAGATGAAAGGCAAAATTTTATCAAAAAACTTATAGAACTTCGATACAATCATCGGCATCTCTTTACGGGTAGAAAATACACCGCAAGGGATGGATGGATGTAAGAATTTTTTTACGTTTACATCAAATAATTAACTACAGTAGTTTTGACAAAAACTCTTTCTAGGATAATTCAGTCTTTATTACAATGCCAAGGTAAATATTCTATTGACCAGTTAAGTAAATGTTGGCAGAATTTGGTGCAACGCTACAAGCAGTTGGCAAAAAGCGAAACTGATAATATTACTTGGCCTTACTACGAATGTATGCAAAAATGGTTTAAAGAGGAGCAGAAAATATGTGAAAAAGTCAAAATGGAGGCTGCTGGTTCTATAAATATTATAGAAAGTGAAGACAACTCCAAAATTGAAAACGAAAAGGACGTGTCCATTGCAAATTCTCTCCAGTTTCTACCTAAAAATAATATCTCCATCGATTGTGTTAAAATACAATTACTCACAGAAATAAAAGCAGCTCAAGAAAAACATCACAGTGAAGTAATGGAGAGTTTGAAAGGTATTAGTGAACATTTCAATACTAGCAACAATACACTGTCAAACAACTGAAAATGTTACTTATTACAATATTATAAAAGTACTTTTATTCGCAATATATTAAAAACACTGACATAATGTTTTATTTTTCTATGGTACAACATAAATAATACTCTCATAAACATAAAAAAACAACACCTAAAAAATATCCTAAACATTTTTTTAATGCTTAAACTTCTAGGGCCGCCAAGGATTCTTCTATCTCTTTCACCTCATTTTCATCAGCATACCGCTTTCTTATTTGTTTTAGACTCCACTCAATCACCTTTTGTGTTGAATCTTTCTTCTTCTGTGACACATTTTTCTGAGAATTTAGCGAAGCAGTTGTTGTCTAGAAATTAAAAATTAGATTGATATTCACTCAATAAAAAGGAATTCTTACCAAATATATTCCATATAGAGCTCTAATATTCCTGGAATTTAACCTCAGAGCTTGATAATAGTAAGATTTAGCTATTTCCAAATTTTCTAACCCACCTTGTGTATATTTTATGTCAGCATACCTCTGATGTAACAAATGGTTGTGTGGATTATGCAAAATTAATTCTTCCACGCAAAAGGCAGCTTTGCTGTAATCATGCTCATTTATGTACAACTCACTTAATTCTTGCCATGCCTCAACGTCAGCCATAAAGCTAAAAGAAAAGTATATGCATACAGATGTTATTATTCAATAATCAATAACTAAAAACTGTTTTATTAACATACGTTTTCAAATATTCAGTTAGTTCTTTGATAGCTTCTGTATATCTTCCAAGAGCTTTGAATATAGCAATTCTCCTCTTTTTAGCAGCACTATTCGTGTTGTCTTGTTTAATAATATCATTTAATATTTGAAGTGCTTTGGGATAATTTTCATCCGCTTCATAAACCATCGATTCTAATATTCGCACTCTGGAACTATTAGGAAAGTCCTTGTACAACTCTTGTATGCATCTTTGTGCAATGTTAAGTCTAAAAGAATCTGCCGCTGCTATAGACACCTGTTCCAAAACGATATGTTCTAAAATACAGAAAATATTACTGCAATTCAAAATAATACAATATGCTTACTTTCTTTTCCTAGATTATATATGTTTGAGGAAATCGAATCGTCCCAAATTTGAACAACTTCTCTACTTTTACGCTCATTGGTTTCTCTGTATCTTTTCAACTGCTCCAGGTCTCCTGCAAAAGAAGGAAGATAGCAAATTGTTTATTAAACATGCACATAAAATTACTTTTGAGATTCCCCATGACTCGTATTTTTACAGCTGAACCCGAAACCCTCTGTTTAACTAAGAATTAATTATAATATATACGTGTTAAACTACACAAACTGGTATACAAATGACTATAAAACTAATGAATTGTCATCTGTCAACTGTCATCTGTCCTGACATGTCATGTGCGTTAGTGAAATTGGTAGCATTGAGCTGAAAGTGTCTAAAGTTTGTTCTCTAAATTGAAAGGGGGGCCAGTGTATATGAATTATGAATATATGCTACCAGAGAACAAATTGAATTGAATTACGTGAATAAAATTGAAATATTTATTTTTGCATATGTAAAAATTTGAAAAACTGTCGATATTCTTTTGATTTCTAATAACAAAAGTTGATCTGGGTGACACCACTAGTTTAGAGGCTGTCATTTAGTGGAAAAATAAAATCCCTTTTCTGTCTGTCCCATCCATTCATTGACCCAAACAGTAACAGGGGCAGTCGATTATTAGACTAATTTTTAATCATTTTAATCAGTGTGAGTGTCTTGTATTCAAAATGTATATTAAAATAAGAATTTGGTAAGTACCCCCCAAATACTTCTTAAAAATATCATGAAATATGATACGTGTTGCAGTTAAGAATGCATTGTTTATTTTATTAAGTAGGATTCTTATCTTTTGTTACTGAAAATGCTGCAATGGAATTAATAATGAATACATCCTTTAAATCGAAATAAAATAAAACCTTTTTATAAGCCATTTTCATAAATTTCAGTATTCTCATCATTGATTTTGTTCAACAGATCAATACACTTGACTAGAGGAGTGTTCTACAGTATTCACCATTTCCACCAGTTGGTTGAGTAAATAAAGAAACAACCAAAATGGACTCAACCAACATTGTTTGTCCAGTTTGTACCTTGTATCTAAGGCCAGGAATAACCTTAAAGCAACATTTATCCTCCCATCCAAAGCAGAAGGTAATAGAGGCCTTGGTAAAGTTATCTGTGGGTGAAGAGTCACCTAAAGGTCAAAATATACCCACACAGCCAGATTTAAGTGCTGCTGGCAGTTCTCAGGTTAACTCGGCTATAGTGAACCAGTCATGGAATCAAGCACCTCCAGGTCACTTAGGGCCCACGCCCCACATAACCCCACTACATGGAAACCATGTTTTTATCTATCAACAAAGTATGAGCACAACTTCTCCTCAGCCAAATGTTTTAAATGTAAACCCGTTGTCACAGCAATACGTTTATCCCACCGTTTTCAACCCCCAAATGATGCCATATGTCTATCAGCAACAGCAAGTAATAATGTCTAGTAATTCGTTGCCTCCTCATGTAAGGGCTTTACCTTTTGATTTACCTAGTACATCGCAAGCTAATATACCCGAAGAATCGGTCGAGAATGGAAGTGAAAATAATATTACACAAAGTAGAATAGAGGAAATCCAGGAGAATACAGGGGATTCGAGACATGAAGAAATTGTCAAGGATACTTTCAGTGGAACACCTACAGAACCCACAACTGTTAAGAAGCAAGAAGACATGGATATAGTCAGTCATGATGTGAAAACTATGGAAGATTTTGAAAACGAACAGTTAATGGTGAACGAAATACCATCGGAAGAGTACGGTGGTAATGAAAACAATGCGGATTATGAACACGAACAAGTGGATCACGAAGAGTGTATTGGTTCCCCACATTCTCAGACTACCACTCATTCTGACTGGGCATTTCACTCCGATTTGAACAAGGCTTGCCAAACCCAGAATACCAGTAACACTTCACCTCGTTCACATACATTAGAAGATGAAGAAGCAAATTTAGATAATCAAGAAAACAATGAAGATCAGCCCGAATACTTTTATATCCACCAACAGAACCAGGAATTTGTAAAAACTCAAGAGTATACCGAACAGAATGTTATACCGTATACAACGGTTAAACTAAATACGGAAAGTTACGAACAGTCAGAACCAATTTATACTTCTGCAAACATCCTGCACGGTGGGGACCATTTAGATTTTGTTAACATGGAAGATATCGTTATCATAAATGATTTCTCTTCAAATCAGGTTATTTCTCAAGTTGAAAATTTTGAGAACACCTCACCAGACAGACCAGGAGTTTTAATGACTATAGGAGATATCACCGAGCAGCCAAAAAATGATTTCATTGAGCAGAGTCACCTGGAGGAGAGTATGTCAAGAGAGAGCTCTCACGTTAACATAAGATCTGATGAAAGGATGCCAGCAAGAGGCGAATTGTCTGGTCAGGAGAGTATAGGGGGTGCTAGTGACATAACTTGGAATCGTATGCAGTACCAAGAAGGTAGTTCGGGGATGTCACACTCTTATGATTTAATCGGAAGGGAGACTTGGGAGGCATCCGATAGTGACAGTGTAGAAGTGCCAGCAATCCAGAGGAGACATCCAGCACAAGGGGAGTATCAAAATCATATGGAGTATAACGACAATGAAAATGACACTCCTACGATCGTTAGTTATTCTGGACCACCGCTTAATTTTAAATGCCCCACATGTCAGGAAGGTTTTGCATCGTCAAAAGAAAGAAAGGAGCATGAGATCGAGAAACATCCAGAAAAAATAAATAGAAGCAATTTCATTGGAGGCGATATTGCTTCCAAGGTAAAGAAGGTGAAAAAACTTATAGTAAAGTTAAAATCAGATAAGACTGAGACCGACAACAATTATGATAACGTTTTTACTAACAAATTGAAATTAGAGAATAATGTCGAACAAAATGAAACTCCACCTGTCGAAACTGATATTAAACAAGACGAGCCCAATTTAGAAGTTAAGGACTTGAAGATAATGTGTCCAATTTGTGACTGTGTGGTAGAAAATGCAAAGGCTTTAAAACTGCATAAAATGGAAGTCCACAAGGAAAATGCCAGCGTACGACACAAATGCCTTACATGCGGGGAGGCTTTTCCTAACGAATATAAATATACGGATCACCTTAAAGTACACCCACTAGAATGCAGGTTATGCGGCAAACTGTTTTATAGAAGACAAAATATTCAGTTGCATATGAAGAGACATCTGGGACTTAAGCCATACAAATGCGAAATTTGTCAAAAATCTTTCGTAACGAGACAAAAACATGATGAACATAAAAACATTCACACTGGTGAAGCTCCCATCAAATGCAACTTGTGCGAGGAAACATTTAGAAGACACTCGAACTTAGTACAACACCGTAACAGACACCATTTTCAGCTCAAGAAAAAGGTTAAAGATTATATATGTCAGTGTGGAGAAATCTTTCACTCTAAAAAAAAATTAGCATGGCACAAGGAAATCCATGACTCTAAGCCTAAGGCGTGCACTCAGTGCAGTGAGAAATTCGTTCATATGTCGAGTTTAACGAGACATATGCGCCGTGCTCATAATGAGAAGTTTCTCCCACAAGTAGAGAGGGATAATGAAAATGTTCAATGCCCCATTTGCAAAGGTACTTATCTCCGATCTTCCCTGGAAGTACATATTCGTAAGCACAGCGGACAGAGGCCTTTCACTTGCTTAATATGCAATAAGGATTTCACGACTAAATGGAACCTTAAATTGCATAAGTGGACGCATGCCAGTCGTACGTCCAAACCCTTCAAGTGCGATCAGTGCAAGGGTGCCTTCATTAGAGAGTCCGACTACATCGCGCACATGAACTCTCACAAAAGCGTACGACCGTATACGTGTAACTACTGCGGTGCTCAGTTCATCAGGAAGTACAACTGCATAAGGCACGTTAAGGAACACGAGAATAACAAGACATTCGTTTGTCAGGTTTGCGGGAAGTCTTTTCACAGGTCATATTACTTAAAGGATCATATGCTTGTACATAGCGGCATTCGACCTTATTCCTGTCATATTTGTGGGAAAACTTCCACGACTAAGTCTAATCACAATAAACATGTACAAATTCATCATGCTAGGGAACCAGTTAGTACAGAAAATTAGATAGACAGATTTTCAGCTGCTAAAATGGGAGTAAAGGAAATAAGAGTATTTTTTAATTATATTAGAATTGTTTTAAACATTTTAACTAGTTCTGTTGTGCCCCTATAAAAAATATTTTATCTAAAATTGAGACGCTTGCAAGTGGTATTTTATTCACAAAATTGAACATGGGACAGACAAAAATTATTTTATTTTATTTTTATTGATATCAACTTGTAAGATTTTTTTTTGTTTGATTTTAGAAGTACCTATTTTTTTTAATATTTCTTCAAATAGCAGTTTTATAATCTTTATTTGAATAGTTGAGTACTACTTCAAGTCTATCACTTTTAGTGGAGTGCGATTTATAAAAAGTAATCGATCTGTTATTTAAACGATTCGACAAGTTGTTAAAAATATTTTTTTAAATGATTTGAGTAAATTAAGTATAGAAGCTGAAACTGTGATTGTTTCAAATTGAAACCACCACCATTATTTTAATATTCATATAGAAATGTTAGGTAATAAAAGTGTATTTTTTACGTTTCATTGTAGTGAAATAATTTTTATTTTGTAATGATTTATTTGGTGTCTACATAGTATGAAGTTCGTTATTTCAAAGGTTTGTTGAATTCTTATTTTAGTAACATTGAATTTTACATTTTATTTAGTACGTACTATTTTCTTTTTTTTTTAATAAAGACTGTATTTTTATTCTGCAATTTTTAAATGATTACTACTTTAACATAAAGAAGGGTAACACCTTATTGTTATTTAGTTATATACGTTGTGGACGTATATAATATTTCCATTTGTGTAAATAATAAATTAATTTTACATTTTAAAGTGTGCAATTGAAGTTTTTGTATTAAATAATACAAATAAAACAAATATTTATAACCATCCGTTTTTTTGTAACCGCATGAAAATTTGGGGCGTTTTAAAGTAAAAAATTTGAGAATAAAATCAACAAAAAAATATACATGTAAGTGATAAATGCAGGGTTAGGCAGAAATATCCATTTTCAACTTTAAGTTTGTTTCATAACGTCGAGGGTGTCATAGAAGAGCGTATGAACCAAATCTGAAATTTTAAAGGCATACGCCTTTCTGATATTATAGTTTTGCAAAATTGGTTCATACGCCTAAGTAAAACGCGTTAGAATAGAGTGTTGATGTTGTTTATGAATATATACGCCCATCTGATATATTAAGCGAATTGATTAAATGAAGTCATACACCCTAAAACCCCAAAACCGACTATAGTGGCTCTTACGCCCTTCTGATATGATGCTCTCGATATAGTGAGATACAAATTCAAATGAAATTACCATGCTTTCGCAGTAAATGGAATGGGATCCCTACAAATTCAAATCATACAAAAATTTCTGCCACAAGATTTTGGATCAAGGAGTGTTTCGAAGCTCTTCTTGCAGAAAACCCGAATATTGTTGATTGCTAGCTGATGCCAGATGAAGCTCATTTTCATCTGTTATTGGGCGACAGAGAATCCTCAAGAATTGCACGAATTACCACTCTTGATTTTGACAATGCCTATGTATGTTTTCAGCCACGAAAATTGAATAATTTCAAATATTTCGAATTTTTACCACTAAGAACAGCCAGTGACAGCATTTTTAACATTAAGGCGATGTTTCGCATTGTATTAGCTATGTCCTGTCCAAATTTTGTTCGTGCAACTCTCTTGGTTTCGACAATGCCTATGTATGTTTTCAGCCACGAAAATTGGAGCACAATATCAGCATTTTAAATTTCTGGACCGTTCATTGAGGAAAACGACTTGCCTGTAACTGTTACATCACAACTTCATAATGTTGATGTGGATATTCGACGACTATGGTTTCAACAGGACGAGGCTATTTTCTACACTTAAGTCTAAGTCTATTGCAATTCTGGAAATTATGACCGACCGACGGAGAATAACGTATTCTCAACTGAAATGTTGGCGCGAGTGATGCAGAACTTTTGTATTAGACTTCAAAAGTGCCAGTAGAGTGGAGGGGGTCATTTGAATGATTTAATTTAAAAAAAAATCAAATTTTCATGTTTTCCAAAGAACCTGGTTTAATTTTCAATAAAAATTGACTAAAACGATCAAATTTAAAATGTTTACTTCATTCTGCTTAACACTGTATTATAATTCGAAAACAAATATTGAAAAAGACATTTAATAATAATATCTCTACCCCTTATCTAACTGCAAGTATTAGCCCAGAAGTTGGAGACTTGTGTAGGAGTGGGAGCGGCGTATTATTATTCGGCACGCCACATGTGCGCCCAGGAACGACTTATGTTGGTAAACTCTAGCCCCCATTTAATGCAAGAATGAGGGAAACTTGGAAAACCTCATTAATTAGGGGGGTTGGTCAATCGCCGACCGGTATCAACCTTATTCTTCCATCTTACCATACCCACAGAGAGGGTACCTAATTCCCCTCTACGAATATAGCTGATCTATGATCTTACTGCCTCAGGGATCGAACCCGCAACAGTGGCATTCATCGATTCCATCGATTCAAGTATTGACGCATTTAACTGCTCGACCAACGACCTACCATAGGACTAACCGACCACAGGTAGAGAGAGAGTCCAATTTATAGAGTATCATTTATTTCCTTTAAAATAGTACATATATTATATTCTAATTCATTACTGTCCTTCCGCAATAATTCTAACTTCAATATAATTGGTTTTGGATCATACAATAATAGAATTTTGAAGAATTCAATAGCGGCCAGCTAAAAAAAATAAGTCAGAACAACATTTTTTGAAAAAAATAAAAAGTACCTGTAGTGGAATGGGCTGTTTATTACTCAAATATCTGGAAACGATATCCATCGCTTCATTTAATTTATCATCTGCAACATCCAGGTCTGTCAAAACTTTTCCCAAATTTTCCAGAATTACTAACTGCAACTTGTATGTCTGTGAATATCTGTAAGCAGAGCCTTTGTCTTTTAAGTAGCTTTCTGCAGAAAATTTATCAAGGGCCAATAAAATGTTAGGCAAAACGTCCCTAAAAATTATCATAATTTTTTATAATGAAAGTAGATAATACATCAATCTACTTACTTTGTAGTTCTCATTTTAATGAAATCCTTAGAGAGTCTGGCTAAAGTGACAAGCAATAGAAAACTGTAATTGATAATTAAAGGATCTTCGAACTCTTTGAATCTCAGGACTAACGGGGACCAAATTTGATGAACGATCGGTAAAAGTTCATCTTCAAAATCTCTTAAGATTTCCAAACCCTCTGTTAATATGTTGAGTGCAAGTAATTTTTTGGTTTTATCTTTTGATGGGAGAAAATGCAAGCTTCGACTTAATACTGCCACTGTCAATTTTATATGTAAAGGTGGTTCAGGTTTTTTGTACTCTTCAACTAAAAAAAAATATGTGTACAAATTACATAAAAATATATTGAAAGTTACCTTCTGGTTCTTCCATTTCCTTTTCTATTTCATCTTGTTTCTTTTCCATGTCCTCCTTATACATTTCTTCTGCAGACTTGCCCATAATATCATCAGAAAAATTAACTGTTTCTTTCATATCTACTCCTGTTACCTGGAAATCTTCAATTTCTCTTAATTTCTGGGCTTTAGACTTAAACGGTTCAATTCTTTCTTTTATGTTAAACCATTTTCGTAAACAGTTTATAAAAATTTTAAATATTTCTAAGAAAGCCGTTGAATTTTTATCCTTGAATTTATCACAAGATTGAAGAAGAACCTAAAAATATGACCTACAGAAAGACGCAAAACCAAAGCTAATTCTTACCTCTTTAATAATATCAGCGATGTACAACAAGACCTCAACTGTTCCGTAATTCAAAACAACTGCCAGGACACTCAGGACACCTTGGTTGTTCTCCAGTTTGTTTAATTTTCTTTCAACGTGGTACGTAAAATAGTCTATATTGCTGTTTATTAAGTTCGTTATATTGGAATATCCACAGGCTAATGTGACGTTCGTTAAAGCTGACAGACCAGCATTTTTTACCAGAGGGTGGCTACTTCCTATAAAATTTTGAAGTCACATGGAAAGTTTTATAAAAAATTGATGTTTCTTAGTAGTAAAAAATATATATGCACATTCCATGTATGCCAAAACTACCATAAATTTTTAGCAAAAGTTGTTAAAAAATTTTAGTTTCTTATCTGAAATAAATTATTGTTTTGACTGAATTATGTGTTACTAAAAACAGTGACGACTCCCATTAAGGGGCAACACCACTGTAAAACTCTAAAATAAAATGTTTTTCTACAATTTTTTTTTAATGGAAGGGAAATTAAGAGGGCAATAATAATCAAAGATGTTATTAACCATGTCTCTAAGTGTTGAAAAATATATATTTATTCCTAAATAGTATAAAATAGCGACGCTAGACCTATCTCACGAGGTATGTTGAATTTGAGGCACTCTGTGGTACGCAATGTATTTGATGAAAATTTTAAAATGGAAAAAACAAAAAACTTTTTTTTTATCTACACGAGTATGGCTAGGAAATAGGTAGGAAATTTTGAAAACGTGAATTTTTATGCGATTGGCGACCATTTGAAGTAAAAAGTTCAATTTTCGACAAAAAAAGGGGCAATCATCTGCCGATACATAATGTTAAAATGAAGTTATCGAAAATCCCATAAGTACTTCTCTTTGGATTGTTATTTTGAATATACAGGCTGTTACAAATTCGCTTCTCACTATAGAGATCTCGAAAACGGTAAGAGATACAAACTAGCTTAAATGGGGGCAAAGTTGCGTAATCAGGGGACTAACATTATGCCTCTAAAAAATCAAAGCTAACATGATTAGTTTTCGAAAAATTTGAAAAAAACCGAAATTTTCGAAACCCGTTTTTGTTTCATTTCAGCCTTCGTTTGAGGTGATATTGAAAAAGAAAAACACTTGGCATAATCAATTTTAATATGTAACGTTTCGTCTCTCCGGGACCATCATCAACTTCATTTTTTTAAATATGACCCTAGAAATGTTATTACATTTTTTGCAAGCCTTCGTGAACCCCAATACTGTACTGCCTCAGCCCGAACCAGATTCAGACGTTTTGTCTCAAAAAATTCATCTTCAGTGTATTCGTTCCAAATTTATCTAAATTTTTTATTTAGATTTTTTTGTTTATTGAATTATCGTACACTGTAAGTGTCGTTAAGCCCTGTGAAATCCATCTAGTTATTTAAACTATTACCACCAAGCATTAAAATAAATAACTATTAGAGTTTTATTCCCGTGTCCATAGTTATTTCTAGGCTTCTCGAGTGCTCAAAATTCAAACAAATTCCGATCTATTTTTTTCAGGATATTCATACATCTGACATGCTCTTTCACAGTTGCAGTTACAGATATAATAAATTCTGATATTACGCTGATCTTCATTTTCAACCTTTGCCAAAATGCAAATGTTTTTGAACATTTACTGAAATTTTTTAAAGAATAATATTCAGGCGTTTTGGTTGTTCATATTCATTTTTAAGAATTAATTTGTCATAATAAAATTAAAATTGTAATAATGTTTTAATTTTGATGCAACAACTTATTGAATTATGTATGACCAAGTGATGGTAACAGTTCATAATAATAAATGTTTTATTGTATCGCGGATATGTATTTGCCGCAGGTAGTCGTTTTGGAGCTGTCCCACGCACTTGGCAGAGATCAGATTTTCAAAGAAAAAAATTCTTTTAGTATAAAACTTTTTTCCCCTTATTATAGGTCTTTTAAATCAATAAAAAAAATTGATTTTCTGAAAATTATACAGTGCTCTCTCCCCTCAATGAAAAAACATTCCATAAGAAGTTTCTGAACATTTGAAAGTATTAATTTCATTTTATTATCAAATAAATTAAATTTTCGATAAGTCAAATGTGTATAGAAAATACGTTGGTGATGAATAAAATAATTTCACATGAAAACCCTTGGAAATACAAAAAAATTATGACAGAAAAACTTGAAAAAGATTATTTGTGATGAAAAAAATTAAAGGACCCGCAAAAAATATATAAATAATATATTCTTTTATGAATGGAAGTGTTCTTCCCATTTTTGTAAATATATTATTTCAGCTACTGTGCCAAAAAGTACCATTTATGTACAACACATTTTATTTCAATTGCAGCACTTTATAGTTCATTTTTTTTCAATTTTACGACTAAAAAAGCAATTTTAAATAAAGGTAAGTTTGGTTAAATCGTCTAATAACCCAAGAATTTGTTATAATTCCATGTAGAATTTGTATTTACTGCTTAACTGCATGGATATTGTGCTCTTTTAATGCATGCGACATTGTACATGATAAAATAAAATATTCCACTTTGATTTGTAGGAATAGAAACACTTACCAGCCCTTTCCAAGACCAAATACAAGGTTTTCAAAAGGAACTGTTGAAAATTTTCTCGTAGAACTAAAGCGATTTTGCCAATTCCTTCAACTAGTAGACAAACTTGAATGACGTTGTTCTGCACATCCGTTAAGGTAGTTACATATCCAAACTCGTCAACGACCACAGACAACGGTATCTGCCAGTAATTGTTATCCACGTATGTAGTGACGATATTCTTTATTATTTGCAGATTTTCTTCGGTATAATCAGTGCCTGATATAGCTTCATTTAAAATAAATATGGCTTCCTTTCTGTTCTCCGAATGATACATAATAACGTCCAAGAGAAAATCACTAATGATTTCTAAGCCACCGAATTTCGCTAGCGAAGCGCATAACGTTTCCAATTTATTTTTAACAGATTCCTCTTTAAAGTGTCGAAAATTTCTCCAAGGCGTTCGTAAATCTGGGTTCCTATTCAGCTCTATAAAATTTATAATATGTAGCTCTTAAAAAAATATATATTTTGAAATAAAATTACCCTTGATAGTATATTCCTCCAAAAGACTAACACCAGTTCTTTCCAGCTCAGATATATGCATAAGTGTGTGCATAAGTTTATTTAAATGTGTCGCAGAAAGCAAAACTTGGCTCAGTTTATGTTTCCCAAATAAGCATATGTACCCAATTATTAAATTCAGAGACGCAAGTTGCTCTCTTTCATCTAAAAGGTAAAATGACGAATCACGGCAAAAATAAATTTATAATTGCTTACCTATCCCGTTAAATTTTCTGGGCAAACTATTTATGCCACTATAAAACCCTTCTTCTAAATTTTCGAGCAAACACTTAAAGTTACTAGACGAAAGCTCAATAGACAATTTCTGCAACACATCATTACTCCTTCGTTTTACTTCATCGCTCTCATCTTCAGAAAGCGTTATAACTATTTCTATTAAATGGCTCGTGGATATTGGCATTGTTCTACAAAATATATTTCTTAAGTTACGGTTTGCCTTTCGACACAACAATGTGCTCAACAAAGTAATCAAGCTTTTCCGAAATCTCACTTGGAATAATATCGACACAGACAACTTTCTTGCTGAAAAAACTTTGGCCGGAATTTGCAAAATAAAAATTAAAATAAGGCTTGTCCACCATGAAATTTTGAAGAGTTGCATATATGTATACAGGGTGTGCCATTTAACACTCCCACTGCAAATATCTCCAAAATGAAAACATTTATTTGAGGCTTTATTCACACCATATACTAACAAACAAACAATAAATTATATAAAAAACGAATGATCAAATACAGAAAAAAAATTGTACAATGGTAAATTTGGTAAGGGGCAGAGACGAACCGTATTTTATCAAATTAAAAAAATGTAGTCATAGGTGGCTCATGTCATTTGTTTAAAATAAAACAAGTATGACAGACGACACATATTAGTTTTCCAATAATTACAGTTTTATCAGCTTGCATCTTTCAATCTAACTATATTAGTTATAAGATTTACCAGTGTACAATTTTTTTTCTCTAGTTCATCATTTATTGTTTGTTAGTTAGTATATGGTGTGAATAAAGTCACTATAACAATATTTTACAAGAATATTTTGTCTCTGTATGATTTAAATAAAATAATAGATTTTCCTGTTACATCATACATTGCATATTGAAGTCGACATGTCTCGAAAACAAGTAAATATTGGAAAAAACTTTATATTAAAAAAATTACTCAAAATTTAACGATCTTTCACATGGACTGCATTTTCACGTTCCAGGGTTAAAAAATTTTTTAGTATCGCCATGCCATTTATACAGAAAGATTTGAACTAAGAGTTCTAACTACAATTTGAAGCTATTTGAGGGACCTAACAACCTCAGTTTCCGGAACTAAAATAAACTTCTTCATTTCAGAGATATTGGCAGCGGAAGTGTTAAATGGCACACCCTGTATATGTAAAACATTTTTTTATAATCAACTGATAGATACAAACGTGTTGTTTTTCATTTTTCAAAAAAATTTAATTGTGTTTGTAGTTTACATTCATAAGTTGATTATCAAAAAAAATATTTTACAAATTTTAATGCAGCTCTCTTCGAAATCTTAGGGTCAGAAACTCACTTTAATTTTTTAATTTGAAATTCTTCCAGAATTTTTTAGTCATTCATCTCTCATTCTCTACGTGGACTAAAAAAATGATGTGGGCCCCATACTTCATGATTGAAATAAGATCATTTTAAATTTCACAAATTGCCACTGAACAGGTGGATGGGCCAATATTATGGCTTCCAACGTATCCATGTCATTTTTCGATGTGGAATTACATCAAAAGTTTAGTAGGTATATAAAATTGAGTGAACACAGTAGAGGAACTACATAAAGGTATAGAAAATGTCATAGAAATAATTTGGGAAATATGCTCCCTCAGTGGTAGGTATACACAAAGGACGAGGGTGGTGAGGTTTGGGGTTGGAACCACTTCCACAACACGTTTCGTTTGCAAATGCAAGTAAATTGGCATTATCCTCGTTAGAATTATTTAATGGAAGGGAGACTACAAGATAACTTTTAAAGATATAAGGGCGCCCAAATCATAAAAAAGTTGTGTAGTATTTTGCTAAAACATTTCTTGAAATGAAATATTCCAACTGATTCTTGAAAAAAACTAGAAAAAAAGATTTTTTTTTATTCTGTCCTCATTAATTATTGTAACTCATTTATAATGATATAATTATTAGCAGGGCCGGCAGAAATTATTTACGAACAGCCATGGCGCAGGAACAGTTACCAGACTTAGCCATTCTTGCTATCGAGAAAGATATAAAGATAGAAAGAGAAAGAACAAATAATTTGATTTACGATATTATTGAAGACTTTGTTAATGAAAAATGTAGAAAAGTTGATATGTGATAGGTACGTATAAAAATCCCGTTTTGACATTATTTAGTTTTTTTTTGTTTTTATTGAATATTTTTAATTTTTGGTTTTATTGGAATATCTGTTTTATTTTTTATAGGATGTTTCTTATAATTTATGTTTGTTTTTTTACTAAAATATTTTTTTATTTATTTTTGTCTATTGAAATGTTTTTTTATTTTTTATAACTTTTTATTAATAAATTTGTTATTTGTTCCAACAGTAGTAACTTGTATATATTTTTTCTTAGGGCGGCAAACAAATATTTGCTTCAGGTGCCAAATACCCTGGCGCCGGCCCTGATTATTAGTTGCAAATATGAACACGTTTCTGTATCTTTCATTGTTTTTGAGACCTGAAGTTAACTTTTTTCTTATAGATGCTATATTTGTCTTCCCTATAATTTGTATAGTTAAATGCATGAAGAAAAAAAATTTTGAAGTTCAATGATATGTCAAATTTTATGTTTAACGGCTATGAGATTGTGTTTAACTGTTATTTTCATTTCAGTTCATAGTAAATTGTACATAATTAATGTTATTTCGGCTGTATTGGTTTCTCATACGATTAAAACAACAACATATCAGATTTTCACTTCTTCGCGCATTTAACGACTTACTGTAATCATTTTACTATTCTACATTTAATCATATAAAAAACCATACTCAGGAAATAACGGTTCCGCCCCAAAAAACAAAGAAATAAAGACAGAATCGCTACTGTAATCATTAGAGTTGTCTTGTATATAGATACCGACACCATTATATTACCAAAAGGCTACAGTGTAAAATAAAGGAACGCATTTTTTAGTTTCTTTCATTTTTTGGACGAGATGAATATTTCAAGTCACTGTAACCAACACAAATAGCACCTGTATGTCAAAACGTTCTGAGTAAGAATACAGACAAAAAGTCAAACTTTACGATAGGGACGTCGATTGCCTTATGGCAGCACCAGGATCGTCAATTTCCGAAATATACCTAAAAGGTAACCCTTATTGTAGGGTGTTATTTGTATATTTTTGGTAGTAAAACTTTTTTTTGAGAAATTTTTTATCTGCATTAGTGCATCAAGTACCTCAAGAATTTCTCTAAATTTCAACCCGAACCATAGTAAAATTCTATATATGCCACTACCCTATTATTTCTCAGAGTTGCAAGCGAACCCACTAGTGAGAATTTTTAACATCGTTAGGCAGGTCCCAAGTTATTAAAAGTCAAAGTTAAAATTTTTATTTCTATTACCTTCGAGGTTTTAAAAAAATATTTACTTGAAAAATCTGCTTACTTTTTTGAGTTCTATGTTGTGCTAACAGGAAAACTTCAACTCAAAACACACACCGTTTAGTTTAATAACATATTTCTTTAGAATAATACTCACGTAAAGCAATTTTCAATTATAAGTCCGCACATGTCAGCCAACTCTAATCGTACTTTGTGATGGGAATGATGTGTCAATTTGGCGAACTCAACGACAAGTGGTTGCAGTCTGTTATCGGTATCTTTGTACCATGGCACCGTCCGTTTATTTGTGTGTAGATATTCCTTGATTTCCTTTTCGTCTTTAAATTTCTTTCTTTTCTCAGTACCAATTACAGGTTTTTTATTCATGATATTCTTAAGATTTGTAAAATCGAAATCATCATTTCCAGCTTTATAATTATCCATTAAAAGCGTGACAATTCTTCCCCAGGCTTTTAAAGCTACCATTGGAATTTTATGTCCCATTTTCTCGTCTTCTAAAGCTATCCTGGCTAAACCACTTGCAATACCTGGTAGAAAGAATAGGAATACTTCCGCAACTTGATTTCTCAGCTCAGCATCTTCGAAATCTTTATTTTCTAATACCTGAGCAATGGCCATAATACATTCCATAGCAGACACTCTGTGAAGAAATTGTAGATTAGTTTCACACAAAAATTGTTTGTCATGATTGTTGATTACCTCAACGATCTAAGTTGTTCAGTTTTAGCTATTTCCAGAGCCGTGTAGAGCATTTGACAAAATCTTGGAGCATTTTCTCGGGTATACAAAGAAAAAACCAGATCAGATGATACACACTTCATAAGAGAAGCCATACAATTCATAATACTTAGTTTATATTCTTCAGGAATAGGCAATACTAAAATTTAAAAAACAATAATTCACAATCGTAGGCAATTTATATAGATATTTTTGTACCTACCCATGTGTTGATGATGATCATAAATCTCAAGTAAAAGAAATGAGTAAATATTAAAAAATAAAACTTTTTTATCGACACTAGACTTCTCAAACAGATTTTTGAAGGTATCCACAATAAGTTGCTTTTCGTCATCTCTAAAACTGATATAGGTATATATTATTGTGATTTACAGTTCAAAAAATTGAAATGATAACGTCTTACCTTGATTTATTTTCAGAAATACTTTTCAAAATTGGGTAAAATGTGGAAAGGATTGTTGGCTGCACAGCTTTTATAAATGATTGAGGTGAATTTTGAATTATAGTATTTAACTCTTTAACACAGGCAATGTTTTTTTGATTCTGAATTAATTTTAAACAAAGAGTTTTAAGTTTCGCGTAATTTTCAAAACTCTCTACTTTAACATCCATTTTGAATAGACCGCTGTTTAAACACCAAATCAGTGATACCACTTTGTTTGTATCCTGCAGATCACAAATTATGAGTTTTGTTTACAGTGATTTGAGTCACAATTTTTGCATCTTCATGTAACTGTAGTGTAATTTTATTAGGTAAGTTAATTATCCCTTAAATCTGCTAAAAAATTCGCAAAATTATTAAAATAAATAAGAGCAATCATCACATTCCGTTAACTATAATAGTACCAACTACAGAACGATGCAATTCCCAAAAAAAAATGTATATATTTCTTCAAATTTCTTGTTTGAGTGCCTAAATAATAATAATAATATTAATAAGATAATAACAAAATAAAAGTGTTATCGTTGTCATGGTTACCAAAAGGATAAAAACAAATGAATATTTGTTTACATTTGATGTATATTTGGTTGCCTAGTAATGATTCAAAATTAAATTTATAATCGATTAATAAAATATTCTCTGAAATTATTTATTTGTAGTATAATTTTAGTTTTTTTTTATTTGAATATTTTGGCGCATGAGTCTATTTCATTATTTATTTTTTTTTTTCGATGGCAGCAAATACCCAAATAAATAAAGAAAAAATTGATGAATGATGAACAAAAAATAAAAATTTTAAAATAATTTTCCACATTACTGTCTTGATTTTGAAATTTACAGTGAAAGTCCATGGAATAGTACAGCTTATAAATCAATGGTGCAATTATATTTCAACAAAGAAATTGGATTTGTCTGTTAAATAAATAACCTAAATTAACTTAATTGAAGTAGATAAAGGTTCATGATGGATTAAAGGCTGACCTTTGAATTGAATTGGGGTTTTCACGTCCAGAGATGAACGTAGTTTTTTTTTTCTTCAAAGATATTTAAAATTTAACTCACTATAAGACAGGATAAAGGATAAAGCCTTTTAAAAAATGTATCTTGCTGTATATTACTAGGAATACTAGAATACACCGTTTTCGAGATAAATGATGAAATGTTAGACCATGCCTAAATGGCCGTTTTACACAAAGAAATGCTTTTTATCATAAACACGGTAGGAATTATATCTTTAAATAAAAATGTAGGTAAACATAATCAACTAAAAATTTGTTGAAAATTTAGTTAGTGGTATACTTGCAATTTCCTCATGAATTTATTGTAATCAATAAATCGACGACAATTTTGTGTAAGTATTACAACTTTGAGCAAGAAATAGTATTTCCTCACTCAACGATTACACGTAAGTAATTAGCTAAAGGTTAAAAAATATATCAATTTATGTGACTGTAAAGAGAGAGAAGTAAGTATTGCTAAAGATAATAAAATATCAAATATAAATAATATATAGTATTATTCAAGTAACCGCGACGTGTGCGAATAAAATTAAGTACATTTACATGGCTTCCTTCCTTCAAACTGCTTTTTACCACATACCTTCTTTAGGTATGTGCTTTTTACAACTTAAACCACATATTCTATTTTTATTATTTCTTAACGCCCGGTTGCAATTTACTTTTTAAATTGGTTAAATAAATAAATATGTATCTGTTTATTTATCCTGCTACAGATGAGTTGGAATACCTGTATTCAGGGCCGTAACAAAGGGCGTAGAGGTAGGGGCAAGACAGGGCATTATTCTAACTACTATTTGTAGATTTCAATGAATGGAATAATATAATGATGTAAATAAAATGTGTAAAAAATAGGGTATCACGATAAAGATTGTAAGTTATATAAGTATGTATTTGCATAACATATTAACTAACTTAATATAATAAGGTCTATTATACATATACTTAAGGGGTGCTTAAATCTAAAGACGTACGTTATGTGGTGTAAATTTGATGTAGATGAAACAACAACGGAAAGTTACATTAATTTAATATTTTTCCAAATGATACCGAATTAAACTATGAGAGATTGGTCAGTTAGATAAATATTAGATATATTATATTTATAATCGGTATATTTTAGATGATCTTAAAATTATTTTCTTTATATTTCTGTATACCTACCAAACCATGGACGGTTTTAGACGGCTTTAGACATCTAGTAAATGCGATTTAGCGATTTAACTAAACTTAATAAATGTTTTTTAGGTATAGTTAATTATTCTTTAGTTAATAAACTTATTCTCTATTAAAGTGGGCAATAATATAATAATTAAAATGGTTACAATAGTTTATTGCGTTATTTATATCATAAAATAATTGTTTTATTGGATCTAGGTAGATTGAGTTCTTCTAAGATATTTCCAGTTAAACATATTTGTTCATAGTCTTTCGAATTAAAAGTTCAGGTAGTAATATGTAAGTAGATATGTATTTACCAAATAAGGTTATTAATGAGAGGTGATTAATTAAATTTAGTTTACAGCTTGACTAACGTTCGGGTAACTGGAATAATTTGATATTTTTTCAAATAAATACCTTTACTAAAAAAATATAAAAAAAATCTTCAGTGTCGGCATGTAAAAAGTTTCACAATCGTAAAAGTTTGTTGATAATGCCATATCAATTTTATATTATTTTTATTTTATTTAATTGATCACTAGTGTATCAGTTTTTAAGCAAAATCGCCAGAAGCGACTCAAGGACATTACCCTTTACCCTCAAATACAGTGTCCAAGTTAATGCGCATATATCGTGGAAATAAAAAGTACAAAGATCATATTTTGTTCTCTATATTCATTAAAAAGATGCTTCATCATTTAATAATGAAATATAAAGTAAGCTAATATTTTTTTACATTTTATTAAATTGGAAACTACATATATTTTTCGAATACACACCCTGTAAAAATATTGCACTTAAAAAAATCCGTTGATACTAATCTAATCGTTACGGCGAAAATATTACCTAAGCACCCAACGTAGCGCCTATGCCCTATCATCGAGAAAGTGTTGTTTTTGATAACGCACTCATTACATGTAAAGACTACCTCAATAGAGCGTGCTTCTCAAAGATGGGTGGGGGCCACAGGGCAGAGTACAACCACAGTCTATAAGATCCCTGAGCACTAATATAATTTGTTTATTCAGTTTGCCGAGCTTGTGTGTAACAATACGTCGCGTGTTGCTAGTTCAGTGTACAATATCAGTTCAAATTGGCAAAATGCCGTCGTTACCTGTGGAGTCGTCAGAGAGTTTGTCTCGAGTTTCGTGGCCTAGCAACGAGAGCATCCACGCAGGAAGTTCCTCGAGTGGTTCGGGATATCAGAGTCCCACTTCGCCATATTCCTCTTCGCCCATATCCACATCCCCGGACAACACTCTGAAGAAGAGAAGGATACGGCGAACCACGAGTTTGGGGAGCGTCATACAGAAACCCTTTGTCATACGATCAGACGCTAGAGACTCGAGGAGCCAAAGTCCGGTTCTAATGCGCCCCGAAGAAGATGATTCCTTTTCTCTACTTTCCGACCTCATAGGCTGGTATCCGTGCTTCTTACTCCGCATGGCCAAAGCCGTGGTCCTTGCGATTTTGCCGCAAACCTGGAGGCAGCTAATCTTCGCTCTACCCATGCTCTGGGTGTCCATGTGGTTCTGGCTCTTCACCCAATTCATCCAGCTGCCTTTTACCATCATTAAGGTACTACTATCGATTGTCTTTTCTCCTAGTACTCCAGGCAACTCTAAGAAACGAACCGTCCTGATAAGTGGAGGAAGCACCATTCAAGCTCTGCATTTGGCCAGGAATTTCTACTCGGCCGGTGCAAGAGTGGTGGTGTGCGAAGTAGAAGGCTTGTTCGCATTATCTAGATTCTCGACGGCTGTAAGTCGATTTTACACCGTACCGAGACCAACCAGCGACCAGCAACAGAACTACGTCAGGGCCCTTTGCGAGATTGTCGACAAGGAACAGGCAGTTTATTACATTCCGGTTTGTGCCACCACTTCAGCATATTACGACTCCGTGGCAAAACCCCATCTGGAACTGCTTGGTTGCTCTTGCTTCTGCCCCGGTATCAAGGAAGTCTGGGTCTTGGACGACACCTTGGAGGTTCTGAAACGTTGCCAAAAATATCAAATTCCTACCCCAACTTATCACGCAGTCACGTCAAAGGATGAAGTTATTCAGCTGTACGATACCGGTGCCATAAGGAGGGGTATTTACGTGATGTCCACTGCTGGACCTAGAGGTTTGAGAGAAAGGTCCAAGATTGTCCTCCCTTTATCAAGGAGTGATTTGAAGATTCCTAACGACATAAACGAGCAAAGGCCTTGGGTTCTCGTACAGAACCCTGAAGGTGAACATTATTTAACTTGCACTACAGTGAAACAATCTCAGGTTATAGCGAATGTAACCTGTAAGATGGACAAAGACGACAGTGGACTTATCCCCGTTGAAAACAAAGAAATAAACCATTGGCTGGCCAATTTTTTCAGCAAACATCACTTGCTGCGACCGATAAACGGTCACATAAGCTTCAGATTTGTGATCACGAAAGAATCTAATGCTGTTATTCCACTGAGCAGCAGAGTTGGCGTTTCACTGCCTTATATTTGCTATACCAGCGTGCATCCAAGGTTGCTGTGGAAACCTTGCAAACACTTCAACAGGCAGAACTCTGGACCATTGATCAATGAAAATAGTACCTACATAATGCCCGATACTGTTATGCATACCATTAAAAATCCTTCGATTGAAACGGTTACAAGACTCATAGGGACAGTTTTGGACAAGAGGGAGGCCCTCTTTGCCATATGGGACCCCTTGCCCTATTGTGCGTACTACCACATGCAGTTGCCATTTAAGAACGTGCTAGGGTTCATGCAGAGGAGGCAGGATAGCTTCCCAAGGCCGATGACTACCGCGGTGCGATGATTTCGATTGTCTTCTCAAAGGGAGAGAGAACCAAGCCTGAGGATTAAGAGGGGTTAAACTATAATTTTTTGAATAAAAAATGAAGAACCTTATTTATTTCCTTTATATTTTTTTATTCCAAAGTTGAGTGATGTACATTTTGTAAACATGTTATTGTTAAAGCTAAGATTAAGATTTATTTATAAATGGTTTTAATCTCATGTTTATATTTGAATGTATTGTCTGAACAAACTATATTTTTTATTCTCGCTAGTAAATATTTTTTATAGTCATATTATATCTTGTAGGTATATAAAAACTACGGTATGTTACATTAACTGAGGTTTTGTACAAAGTGTTGTATCATTGTATCAGTGGTACATTTACATTAAGTGGAATCTGATATATTTTTGTATGTACATATTTTAGAAAAAACGTAAATAAAACAAAATATTGACCAACTTCACACATTAATTTAGTACCCAATTTCTTGCCAAACAAAACAAGTAACAACTTCCATAAATAAATGATGTTATTATTTTTATCACGATAGTGGTCAAAAATATTTTATCAAGGGTATTACGTTTAACAGATAGCTGGTTAAACGCCACTTCATTTGACATTGAAAAATAACAGACAAAATGCCGATATGTACACATTGCATAATCATTCGTTTATTCAAAGACAGTAGAAAATTGGATTTGGATTTGTGGAAATAAAAAATATAAAACATAAAAAGCATTTCTTGGAATACTCATGATTTCTGAAAAAAATTTTGCTTCTAAGATACCTATCGTAGTAATGTATTAAAAGTAGGTAATTAAAAAATATTGTGGATTATTAAAATATTTATGAATAAACATTGAATGTCTTACATTATCAAAAATATTAATGTTTCTTTCTGTTTGTACCTTTTTAAGTAAATGACCAGTTGATTTTGCTTTTATTTATTTATTGCATGAAAAAAAACAAGTCATAATAAAACGGAAAATAAGATACATCCATCAAAAAATAAATAAACCCAAAACAAAATGTAAAATAAGATAAGTAGGTAGCTCACTTTATATCTACATTGTATACGTAGTACGTACATAGTATTCTTTGTATCCAACTGCATAATTCAAGATGATACAAGGTTATATTACTTTACTGCACGCATGTCATCAAACCTTCTTATTGTGGAATTAATAAAAGGACCATGGGCTTACCATTAGGGCAGCTACATATGTGTCTAATTGAGTACAGAATTTCTCTCACTGTTTATTAACACATACTTAACATAATTTCAGTTACGATTGTTATGTTTCTGTTTTATCTCAAACAGTTTAGATAAAGTGTTATAAGAAATAAAATTGATGGGTACCTTTTTATTCTTTTCAGTTAAAAAATAACTTAAGTTCATACAAATGTTTCACTATTTTTTAAATCCTTGTATGTGTACGTGTAGTACAACAGTTAGTTCAAAATCTTATTATACAGGGCATTTTCTAAATCCGTATCATAAATTCAGGGTGTTGAATTTAAAATAATTTCACATTTATTTAAATGTATCTACGATATTTGATATAGATTGATGAAATTTGAGTTAATAGTTTCATTAAAAGAAAATAAGTCCCTGAATTGATTTACAAATATGTCAACCAGTGACGGAGCTACTGGGGAACAGTAACATTAAAAATACCAGAATTTCGACGCCACTGAAAATTATGAAATTTTGTTAATTTTCTAAAAAAATACCAGTGGAAATCAAATGCACCAGAATCCAAAGTAACGGCAATATATTTAGTTTAATTTATTGTATCATTTAGCCTTTGAATTTTCATACATGATACATTTTTTAAAAGTGCAACACCCTGCTTCATTAAATATTTGTAATCTTAAATGACACTCTGATACCGATTTGGATAAAATTTATATTTTATATTTCCAAATATTATTTTTCTTCGTACATATTTAGGAAATATGCAAATTTGCAACAAGTAAAAACTTGTATATGTTTTGTCTAATGCTAAATTAAAGTTTACCAATTCCATCTTGAAATATTTAAAATTGCCTCAAATCTAAATTGACGGGGCTGTTTAAAGCAACACGCCCTGTATATTTATATTTTAAATTTGCTATCTAAAAACTAGCTTGACCGCGAAATATGTGTTTTGATACAAATATTCTTCCTAAAGTTGCATAATAACTTTCGAATACAACTGTCTATTATCTTCATTTGTTATTATTAATATGATTTTGAAATTGTTTATATATGTATTAGAAAAAAGTTACTATAAAGATGTGTGTTAGATATTTGTGTAGCAACTCAGTATTTGTATATAATTTTGAAAAGTGTCTTAAAAATTGCAGACATATACAGGAGATTTAATTAAGTTTTGTAAACATTAGTAATCAGAAAACAAGTTGAAATAAAAAAATCCAGTGTTTCGATTTGTATAGACTAAACAACAAGACTTAAAATAAGAAAAATTGTAACGGGAAGTGCTTTATTTCGGAAATACCGGGTATTTAATTTTAAATTACTGAAAATGTTTTTTGAATTTAAAATGCTTAAATGATAACGACTGAAAATTTTTAAGGCTTTTTGGGTAAAATTTATAAATTAGAAAGTACTAGTGCTAAATAAGTAAATAAAAATGTCTAGACCCCCCTATCTTTACTCGCCCCTAAATAATTGTGAATCGCCTAAAACCTGATTAACCTTATTATCACAAAACGACTAAAGATCTAATAACTGTTTTACATTGACAATTTGTTGATCAATTAATTCATGAAGTCGCTTCATCAAGAAATTGGACAAGTGTAATGCACCAAATCTGCTGTCAAATAACTTCATGAATTTATTCATCAAGTTCTTGACGAATTAGAGCATGTTCTAATTTCCGTCAATTTCTTCGTGAAGTTCGGAAGTACCAACCCATCAGATTTCCAGTCTCAGATCAGTAATGAGGTTATGTTATTGGAATATGTAAATAATTGTGTGGCATCGTGCTAGTTTTGCATTGTTTTTACTGATTTGTTACTTACAAAAACTAATATTTATATAATATATGTCAGAACGGTACCGCTGTTGTATCACTACAATTATGAGTGGTAAGGTGACATTTTTGAAATTTATTTGCTTCTTTGATTCATTGGTACAACTGATTCATACGTCAAAAAACTTGATAAAGTCTGTAGCAGTGTAAAACCACACTGTTTACCAATAAATTCGTGAATTAATTCATGAAGAACTTCGTTAATTTATTCATCAATAAATTGTCAATGTAAAACAGCCATAACAAAAGAAAATATACACAAACATTTTCCTGTTTATTCCCCTAAGAAAAAATGAGAACTATAAATCACAGTCACAGGGGCGGGTTAAAAATAGGGGGAGTCTATGTGAAATTGTACCCCATATTCTTTGATGTGACAATTTTTTGCTTATTTTTCTAATTTGTATTTTTTACACAAAAATCTTGGTATCTATTAAAAATATTCATATTTGAGTACAATGATTTAAACTTTGTTAGTCGTTTAGATTAGATGAGAAAATTGATTACATTATTTTTTTATTAGCCAATAATGAAATAATAAAATGCCTTTTATATAAAATATTTAAATTTTAAAGTTTTGTCCCAAACAACTGAAAAAAACCTTGACAGATGGAACAAAATTTCAGCTGTCCTGCTTCGAATGATTCTGATTCATAGTTGTCATTTTGTAAGGAAAAAAAATTGAAATACCCTTAGCAATGTCTGTGTAAATTTTTTTTATTTAAAAAATATTTTACGGAAATTCCAAACCTACGTCTACGAGACTTTTTTTTATTTTCAAGAGTTCTATCATCTGGTAAAGTTTATCTTATGCAATTCGGGACATTCTGTATATTCAATCAATTTGAGAACATTGTGCGACAATTTGGAAAAAAATTTTTTTGGGATGAATTAATCAAAATATTATATTACCCAACCTTTTCAAAGAATCGCTTAATAGATGTGTTCCTCTCAGTCAACGAGGATATAAAATTTCTTAAGACTTGCTGACCAACCGATCGTCCATCCCATCTTCAATCTGATTAATTGCTGCAGTCGGAAATTTTATAGAAATTAATTTATAGAGGACAATCCGAGATATCGCGGTAGCAGTCGCGTGATGCCGTGACAAGGAAACATGCCTATTTTTCCCTCGCTTGTAATAACGCTTCATTCTTGATCCCGAATACTTTTTACCACGTGCTCGGGTTCGCAGTCCCGCTTTGCCATTTTTCTGACTCCTTATTCAATTTTTAATGGCGTTTTAATGAGGACTATTAAGCCAATGGCATCGTGTCCTCGACGGTTTTGTACAGGGTGTGTCTGATTCGTTACCAGACAGGGGCTGTTTGCAATAAATGCGAGACCTTTGCAGTTATTTTCTGATTAAATCAATGCAATATTTCACAGGCCCGGTCTGGCCAGGTCGGGAAGTCGGCAAAACCCGACTTATTTTGCAAGAGAGGCCCCCAAACTGCTACGAGGTGCCAAAAGTATAAGAAAATTTTGTGTAAATTCTTGATATATTGCCACCGAAAATTGAAAAGAAAAAAGGACATAGAAATGAAAATTGAATGAAATTTAATACAGCTTTCTTTAAGCCAAAAAAAGATCAGTGTCCCGTGTGTAGTGCCTATAAGAATACAGATCCCGAGAAGAGAACAGAAAGAATGGAAGATGATTGTAATAATCATAATTTGAACAAAATCGCGGTTCGAAATCTGAAAGACATTGATAAAGAATTGTCGAAAAATGATAAATCTCTAATAACAACATGCTTTTATTTGCAGAAGGTGTTAGTAACTCCCAAGTCAGAAGTCAGCGATTTTTATTATAAAAGTAAAATCGCAACATACAACTTTACAATTTATGATTTAGGCAGCAATCAAGGCTATTGCTATGCATGAGCAAATATCGACGAGAGGACCGGATGAAATTGGAAGTTGTTTATGGATCTTTTTAAAAAGTGTTAAAGAAAATGGCATACGAAAGGTTATTCTTTAATCCGACCATTGCGATGGTCAAAACCGTAATCGTTTTGTTTTTACGATGTTTGCTTATGCATCAATGACTTTGGATTTGGAAATAACACACCATTTTCTTGAAATTGGCCACACGCAGAATGAAAATGACAGCATGCATGCTGTGATTGAAGTTGCAAAAAAACGACACTCTGCTATATACACTCCTGATCAGTGGATTAATCTAATAAAAATGGCCAAAGTTACTGCCCCAGAGTACAAAGTAAAAGAAATGTCTCAAGAAGATTTTGTAACTTTTAAACCAATGGTAAAGAAACAAAACTGGAAAAAGATATTACTGGAGAGGCTGTAAAAATCAGCAAAATCAGAGCAGTCCACTGCGATCCAAAGTCTCCCAATAAAATATTTTCTGTGTATAATTTTGGAGAAAATCATAAAGTACTAGACTTGCAAACAAAAAACACACGCAAACGGGAAGAATATCAATTTCCAAGATTGTATCAAGGTTTGCTGCCAATTGACGGTAAAAATTAAGCGGTCTTTTGGGTCTGTGTAAGGCTAATTTGATACCACCGATGTATCATGGATTTTACAACTCCCTTCGACATGCTAGTAAGACTGACCACCAGGAAGAAAGTAATATTGACCAAGATGACTCTGACTGAATCGTAATAAATTTTGCTTTTATGTCATTATTGATTATTAACAATTATTTTTTTTTATCTAAAAATAGAAAATGTTTAATTTGTCTGCACCTTATTAGTGTAGCAAGTTGTTTCTCAATAAAAATTTTGACGACGAAAGTTGTAGTAACTCATTCAAAATTCATTTTTTTCTTATCCTAAACTATGTTATTTAAATCATTCTTCAATAATTAATTAAGACCTAAGCAATAATTACTATGTTAAAGAAGAACGATTTAGCTCTTGTAATAAAAAAATAACGAACAATATTATTTTCTCAACTATTCAAATGCAATTATCTCACAATCAGTATAACTAAATTTGAGATTCGACAGTTTTCCTTGGGAGAGTCGATATGCATCCTAATAACAGACAAAACCAAATAGGCCCCGATTTCTATTTTTCCCGACGGCCCCTGAAAGAGCCAGACCGGGCCTGATATTTCATCCAATATTGTTGGTGTCTGACTTTTAGAAAAGTACCTATTGAGTTGACTAATAAAAATTCACTCTGATGAGTAAATAGATAATAAAAATAGAAAATAATATAATATAAAAATGATTGAGACGTAATGTTCTCTCAGTGTAAATTAACTACCAAAAATTTACACTGATAGAACAATTTTTCTGGTAAGGAATTAATAATCATTCACAAATCTTTTAATTAACGTTTTTGTAGTCAGAAATAAATAAATTTGTTTGAGAATGATACATATTTTCTTTTATACAAAGATAATAAAATATGCTAAATTTTTTTTAATTAAATTAATTGATTTATAAAAATTGTGAACGGAAAAGTGATTGCAAATATTGTCCCAGAAGCTTTTTTGTTTCCCGGAAATAGTTAATTTTATCGACTTAGAGCAAGAGAACTTTTTTAAACTAGGGCCTCTCAGAATTTCGATTTTTTTTTCGTAGGTGTAATTTTTTACCAATACCAATGTAGAAAATTTAAAAAAATCTTTCAACTGAGAAACAAAGTTTTATCATTTAACTTCTCCAAGCTCCAAGAAATTAACCGATTGGTGCTATGGATTGACCAGCACCAGTCGACTCCAATCTCATTGAGTATGAAGACGACATTCAAAAACTTTTTTGAACCATAGATGCTGGGTGTAATTCGAAAGAGAAGTAAAAATATCGTATTTAAATTAATTGAAAGTATTATTTATTCCTATACAAAAAAAAAATAAAACTTTATGGGCGCTGAACTTGTTTTTTATTAAATGTTAATCAAAGTTGTATTGACACAAAGCATTTTTTGAGAAGCTATAAATTGTAAATAATTAGAGTATAAAGTATATATTTGTATTTATAATGTAGCAATAAGGTACTAAAATTATTTTAGTGTTGCGTTAATTAAAGCAATAACTTTGAGGTTATGTGTAACTCCATTAATTCGGGTGAGATATAATCTACAAAGTATATGCCATATCTTAAATGTCCCTGTTACTCAATGCCTATTGGCGTAGATTGGCCTTACTAATTTGTTGGTACTATCACTGGTACCGCACTGGCGGAACTTTTCACTAATGATATTGTGAGAAAAAATTCCTCTGCGGACTATATACCCTCTCCAGCATTGAATTAAATCCGCAATATCTAGTAGACAAAATTATTTATCAGATGTAGCAACAAACGATTTAGCTGTTTGAATGTCTATCTACCGACACGTTTTGAGTGTGAGTGAGTTATAACCTATATGCCATATCTTAAATCACATTTAAATTATTATTTTCGGGAAACTATGTAAATCTTTAAATTATAGAATACCCACATCACAGAATACAAAAAGCGATAATAACTGCATCTTTACCAAATCCAAATTAAGTTTGTACATATGTTGCATCTACTAAAAATTGAGATAAGTTAAGATTCAAATGAGATCATTCAACCAATGATTTCCTATGAAAGATATTTTTTTCCAAAATTACCTTTTTAAGACATAATCAAAGATATCCGTTTTAACACTATCTATAATTGTGTTAGTCTGCAGTGACTTAATATCTCTATAAATAAATAAACTGATTAAACACTTGCGACTGCCAAGTAAATGAAAACATTTGAGCAAACAATGGAAATTCATTGGTTGAAGTGTAAGTATGTACTTCATTCATCGATTTCGAAAAAATTCATAGCGATAGGACTCTCTCATCGCGGAAAAGAAATTTTTGTGCAGTTAATCAGACAGCTAATAATTCAATTCTGATCCAGATATGCTGGCCAGTACGGCAGACTGGGCTGGCTATGGCTGTGGCGGTATCTGGTGATCCTCAGACCCCTGGACTATGCCCCGAGGGTCACATGATATTGCAATCTGCTGCAGTCCGGGGTCAGACATGTTCTCTGCAACTCCCCACCACCGCTAAGTTGTGCGAATAGTTGGTAAGTATAATTTTTTGAATTTTTCAAGAAAGCGCAGCGAACGGCCGATGAAATTTCACCCGGCAACAAACGTATAACGTTTTGCCAGAAGCTCGGTTTTAACACCCTCTGGGATAAAGTGACACTTTTAATCCCTCAAAAACAAAACAATAAAATGCATTATTATAAATAATATAGCATCTAGATTTAATACTTTTAACCTCTGACCATAGGCGCCGGCATCCAAATCCCCAGGGCTCTGGGTGGTCGAAGACTCAGAGCGATATTACTTTCAGCGGTTTCAAACTAATAGGGACATCTTTATTTATAGAAAGTGAAACACAGATAATATTTGTAATTTTTGCACAACAAACAGGTAAAAACTTTTTTGTCGCTTTTTTTATTTTCGGTTTTCTCGTTAAAAATATGTATATTCATTTTATTTACAGGAGATGTCCGGAAACTAGGGCAAGACTCTTTTTTGAAAACTCAAAATTGGCGGAGCCAAATAGAAAATTTTATAAATAAATAAAAATCATAAATGTCAAGGTCAAATGTAAAGGTCTTCTTCAAAGTCAATAACAATAACTATAGGCATTTAATAAACGAAGCAGGATTTTAACATTTAACGTTTAAAATTAAAACTGTTTTGTAGGTACAGTTGTAAGAATTGAAATCTACCAAATTGTCTTTATTTACATTGATTATTATTAAATATTTTACCAGAAATAGAACTGAAAGTTTTTTTCTCAGAAGGGATTATTATTGACATAAGAAAGATGGCCTTTTTGTAAAATTTATTATCGACCTTTAATATAAAATTTGATTTTCTGAAAAAGTCAAATTTCTTGTCATTATAAGTCAGATAAATCTGTTAGGGATTATGTGATCTTTTTTGTAAATAGGACCGCTCCTTCAATATTTTGTTCATTGTTTTCGGACAGCCATTATATTTGTAATTAAAATAAATGCAATTTTTGAAAAATGAAAAACATTTTTTGTGCATCTGTCACATCACTATTCGGGATGTCTACTCATAAAGAAATTCACAAATCCACATTTCTTGGTTCGAAAACATTCATAACATGATAATGAGTGAATATAAATTTAAATTGTGCATCGTACGAGTAAACTGAAAATAGTGAGAAACTAATTTGTGACTTATTTAAATATTTCCAATTTAATTTGCAACATCATTAAACCCAACTGTTGCAGTTTTTTATTATTTTTTTAATATGTTTATTTTTATAAATTCGCGGAGAAATATATTTGAAAAAAATATTTTGTAATCCGATTATAAGATCCACTTCTTATTTGTGGAAGGGCGAAATGGGCGGTGACTATTAGACGCCTTCATTATAATCATTTTTCTCTATCGCACGGATTTCTATGGCCGATGAACCATGGGGACTTTCCGACCCTGTATATGTATTTATTTATCTGTGTGAATCTGCAGTCTAGACTACATAAATTCGTGTTAGATATTTATACATATTTATATAATTTAGGTTAGATAAGCGAATTTTGCTATTTTTCCGATTTTTTAATGAACTTTTACTTGTTTATTGCATAAAAGCAATAAAACTTGAAATAAAATGAAAGTTTGTAGACCTCGATGTAAAAACTACAGAGTAATACAATAAATATTATTTAGCGAAGCTTAAAAATGTCCTTTTGAATACTGTTTGTGGTTCTAGAATTATTCTTAGCAAAACACATTTTCATGTCCAATGTTTAAATTACCCATTTTTTTTCAAGAGTTCAAATTGAATTTGTTAAATTCGAATCAATAATACCTCCGTACTTTGTAACTATAATAATTAACAACAATAGTACATAGATAGATAGATAGATAGATAGATAGATAGATAGATAGATAGATAGATAGATAGATAGATAGATAGATAGATAGATAGATAGATAGATAGATAGATAGATAGATAGATAGATAGATAGATAGATAGATAGATAGATAGATAGATAGATAGATAGAATTATAAAATTAAAAAAAACTGTGGCTCAGCATTTTACTTATCGTAGAATTGCAAGCCACTGTGATTGGAAAAAAGAAAATGTTGTTTATACTTATAAGTATCAAATGTTAATCTGGTTAAGAACATTATAAACATTTATATTAATTATTCAAAATAATAATTCATGAAAACGGACCACGGGAATAAATCGTAATTAAGAAAGTAAATGTTTATAATCTGCTTCGTAAGTAGTGTTTTTCGAACATAATGACAAGCTATGGAAATTCTGAAAAGTAATAATAAACAAAACCCGCAAAAAAATAAGTTTTTTATTTATATATTCGCAGAAGGTAATTATAATAATCTCAGTAATTATTATTGATTTCTTTTTCCTTAACTCACGGTGTTAAATTTTAATGAGACGTTGGTTTTATAAACATTCCACCACCAAAAAAAGTTTCGACACAATTGCATTGACATTTTTCGACCTCAAATCCGGGTTATACATTTTAATTGTAATGTAAGTATAAACAAATAAGTGAATATCTTCGGCGACTTAAATAAATGCATTAATTAACGAAAATCGCTTTTTTTATCGATCACATGCATAATTATAGCAAAAATAACTTTCTTAATTACGATTTATTCTCGGTATCTTTACGGCCTTTTACCCTAACCGAATTATGTAAAAATCACGATGTTTTTTAATGTCCGATGGGTGACAAATGTAACGGGATCAATACTAAAAATAAGTACTTAATATTGGAGTCCTGTATTGGATTAATATCAATAGGTACGACAATTAATATAAAGAAATTGTGGGTGCTGTCGCTTTTAGTAGTTTTGTAAACGTGGTATGAGTAAAACAACGCAAATTTTTCCAAATTATGTAGTTCAAGCAACTCACCTTCGTATAACAAAGTGCCGGTGTTGTAATTAATTTATTTATTATCGATAAAAATATATGCCAGGAAATTACCTGTAATTAACTGTGACTAATTTTGCAGTGTATCCAGTGTATTATGTTCAATTTTTTTGCTTTATTTGGATTTGTATATTAAAATTCGATGCGTAGAATATGAATATTACAATTTTCTTTAAGGTTGTAAAAAATAAAAAAATGTTCGATTCATTTTCCGCAAGCTCACAGAAAACCATTGCAGAAGTTAATGGATTGTAAGGTAACTCTTGGTAGTTGACAATGAACACAGGTTTATTATATGTCCAACACTGTAGAAGTTACTAAGAATACTAAAAATAATATTATGTATTTTGCAATAATTTTCTTGTTACTACAGGAGTTGAAGAGCGTATATTATTCGAGAGAAAATAGATTGTCAATTGCGGACAACTGAATTAGGCCAATTTGTTTGTGACAAAAATACTAGTATCAAACGGACTGTGCCATCATATAAAAGACTGTCTGTAGATTTCTACTACAATTTACCATTAATTAATTTTTTATAAACATTTTTATGCAAAAATAACGCATTTTTAAAAAATTTTTGCATATAAAACCTAAACTAACGAAGCAATCTGAATGCTATAAAGAGACAGTTAATAGGACGAGAGGTCGATAGATCCGATCGGATAATTAGACACGAAGAAAACCCTACAAAAGTAGTGAATTATATGTAATTTAAATATACACACAGCAGTCGCTGTCGGACCATTAGTTATGGCACAATTGCAATTTGAATTTTTTTGTGCACTCTTTTGCAAAAATTCTGTATGCTTTGGAGGTGGTCCGATTTTAATTTTTCAATCGGATTTTAAAAGTAGAAGAATAATACTACAAAACGTATATTCCAATTTTCCGATAAAATAATGCGAAATAGGTGAAAAATTCCTCCAAACATGCTCAAAAACGGCCGAGCGCGCGTACACGGTCGAGTAGTGTGGAAAGGTCGTAGACCAACCAATAGAGCGAAAAAAGAGGCTGTTTTTACACTTAAATATTACAGCAAATTACATGTATTTTCTTTTGAAAAATACTTAGTAAATGAAAACCCAAGTAATTTCCCCAGCAAAGTCGTGAACAATTTTTTTTAAACGATAAAAACTGCAAAAAATTTCATTATTTTGTTTTTTTATAATATTTCGAAAAATAATGATGGAATCGTCTTACTCTCAATAGGACTTTTGTAGAGAATAAAAAAACTATCAAATGTTTTTTTGTGTGATCCGATCGGTTCATTTTTTACAGAGAAAATCCGGAAAAACCTTTAAAATAAACCTTTTTTTGAAAAATTCATAACTTCGTCAAATTTGAAGCTAGAAAAACAATCTTGCGGAAAATGACAGATAATAATATGTGGTTTAATCGTGTGCAAGACGGCTTCTGTTTGGGTTTTATTGTTTAAAAAAAAATTGTTCACGGCTTTGCTGGGAAAATCAAGTATTTTTCAAAAGGTAATACATGAAATTTGCTGTAATATTTAAGTGTGCCAAAAAATCTCTATTGGTGGGCCTATCGGAAGATGAGGGGCAGTGGATATATCGGTATACAATTTTGAATGTTCGTTCGGAAGTGGAGTAAAGATTTTATTATTGTACGGAAGCGGAGGGAAACCAATTTGAATATTTAGTAAAATAACATTCTTTCATTCATTGATATTTTGTCTTATTCTTTAAGTGATGATTTTATTGTAATATCCAAACCAAAATTTAAAAAGCCGTATGACGCCGTGAGCAAAATTGCAAAAGCTTTAAAATGAGGTGTCACTCAACATAGAGTGCCATTTAAAGTTTAAGTGTATTTTACGCCCCTGCCTAAGGGGTAGCTTCCAAGACACCAAAACTTACTCCATCACGTGTCCCTCTTGAAAACAAAATCGACGTGTTTCTAGTTTTTTTTGTTTTTTTTTTTAATTCCGATATTTTCCATGTGGGAAGTTTTAATTGGAACACCCTGTATAAAGTTAAAATTCAATTAGATTAGGATACCTATACTGATGTCTCCGTAACTGAGAAGTACAGTAAAAAATTGACTGTAAATAAGGCAACATAACACTTGCGGTTTTTCCAAACCTCTATCAACAAAAAAAA